TCATGCTTTAAAACGTCCTAGGACTTGAGAAAATTGTCTTTGAATACGCTGATTTTGCACTAAACCGGCAATTTTTGGTATTGAAACTGATATAACTTGGCTGAAACTAGCGGGCGGAAAAATGAATTTTTTGATTAAAATTTAACTGTATGAATTTCCAGATGGTCAAGTTCCGATGGATATGGACGAAGACGTCAAACCGGACCTTGCTGCTCTTCAGGGTAAGAGATACTGAAAAATCCAATAGTTATTAGCAAGTTGGATCTGTGGATTAGCAAGTTGGACCTGTGGATAAGCCGCGTTTTTGAGAAATACACATGAAAATTGAAAATTTTGGAAAAATAACTTGTTTTAATTATTAAGTTTGAATTTTAAGTTTAATTATCTCAATTCTAAAAGATGATAACATTTTGTCAACTGATAAGTTTTTTATCATAACATCCTGAATATTTTATTAGTTGGCAAATGTTTGATACCACTCAAATAAACCGAGATAATTGAATCCCGAAAACAAAAATATTTTCTCAATATTTTGTGTTTTATAGAAGACCTGTGCTCAATGTTCTGTACGCAAAACATAAATAGTCCTGAAACATATTGAAAAATTTCATAAAACTTCATCAAATTTGAGAATAGTTAGGAAAATTTAGATTTTTAACTTCATGTCGTTAAGCACAGTGCTTGCCATAAATGTATCTTTTTTGAATTTAAATATTTCTATTCTTTCAGCCGCCTGGGCCAATGGATGGCGTATGGCCTCCACTGTCAATGCCACCTTCATGTGGCTCTATAAAGCACGCGGAGACGGCTGGTGGCGGTTTGATCCACGCGACGAGAGGCTAGTCGAGGAAGGGTTCCAGGCGGGACAGGAAATGATGTTTATCACTATTTTGGGCAACCAATACGAGATCGACTTCGACCTGAATCTTCAAACTCCCGTTCTCAACCGCTCAATCCCAAGAGAGATTTGGCGTGTGACGGCCGAGGAATTTGATGGACTGGTAATCCGCGGTGTCGCTGGAGTTACGGACCCAATTTATTGGGATGTTAAATAAAATCATTTGATAATCACAAACGCATCTTTTCCTCGAAATCACTCAATCCGATTGTGTTCCCATTTCTTCTTGTCATTTTTCCGCATTTTTTTGCCCGCATTCTTTCTTGTAACTAGCATTTTCATAATAATTAAAAAATACCAAGTTTGTTTCCATAGCTCACTCTAATATATGTTTATGAAATAAATATGTTTTGATTATCTCAACCTTCTTTTCTCACGGTTTCTGACTCAACAAATCTGCTAGATATCAACTGATTGTTGTTGCACATAAATCACTGAATCCATCAGTTGATTTCGGTTCCCAATTCGAAAATCTGTTGGCCATTCCACGAAGAGTGCCTCTTTTTTGTCCTCCGATAAACCCAGACCATGATCTCTCATCGCCAGCCTCTCCAAAAATATGCTGGGACTCTGATGTCTTTTCTCATACTTCCTATAACTATCTGGGGTTTCCCCCCGAACCGTTCTCTTCTCACCTCTCTTTTGTCCAACGATACATTTGGTCCTCATATAAACTGTCTACGTACTCCCTGTGATGCACACTATCTCTTCCTCTTCCACCCAATCCAGCGAATGCACCCGGGAAGAGGGGGAATGTGTTATCTTCTGTTCCTCTGTCTGTGTCTCATCTTTCATTTCTAATAGATGGTCCTTCTTCTCGGACAGCCGTTCACTGCCCTCTCTTTTTTAGTTTTTTTGGCCCGTTTCGTTTATAATTTTGTTCATAGACAAGAGATATTTTTCAAAAATAATATCATTTTGTAGTTCTCATTCAGTTCTATAATATCGGGATTGATTGATCAAAAAACATTGATTCTAGGAGGAACTATGGCAGGGCCCGTTTTCAAGGCTGGTTAATTCTGGGCTCACCTAAAACCAAGGCTCAATCAGGGCCGCGGCTATTTTCGTTAAGGTACTTCTGAGTTAGGTGAAATTCGGCGGCCCTGTCCTGGAATTTTTTAAGTAGCCGAGCTTATATTTGAAAGGACGAACCTATTGGCCCATGGTAACCTACCCACGTTCTGAATCGCGGACGGCTTGAAACACCAAAAAATTAACATACTTGCAAAATCTCGGGCCGGCCCGCAGGTCGGCCCGTTGAGAATTTCGGCGGGCCGGGCCGATGAAATGCCGACCCGGCCTGGCCCGGCCGGCCCGGCGACGTACAGACGTTGATTTTATTGAATTTTTTTTCGAAATTTTTTGAAATTTTTTCAAAATTTAAACAAAACGACCTATTTTTCGACTACTTTCTACTCTGTAATTTTGGTTAAAAATGTAATCTTTTTTTTTAAGTCAAAAAAATCACCCGAATTTTCATTAGAAAATTTTCAACTCTGGTAGGCGGCCGCCCGGCCCGGCCTTTTGCAACTATGAATATTAACACTCCTTTCGGGTTCTTACACATTTTACCTACCTCTTTCTCTTTCCCTTCATAAACCCTCCCTTTCTCTATGTTCCGGTGGAGAACATCTGAATTGAGAACTACATCATAAGACAAAATCTCTCTTGTTCTTTGCATTGAGCAGATTATCTCTCTTTCTCTCTCTCTCTCTCGCTCTCTCTCTCTCTCTCTCTCTCTCTCTGTCCTCCCTTCCTTCCCTCTTCCTTGCCCCCTTTCGAATTGTTTCATGGGCTCACACAGACGAGGTGATTGATTGTTGAATATTTCTTTTCACATCAAGTTATGAGCAATTGTAAAGTTTTGAATCGAACGCTTTTAAACTGGTAAACGCACTCAAAAATGTTTTAAAAACCTCACTTTCTCTAACTCGAGCCACCCCTTTCTATTTTTTTTCTGTTACTCATGAGAGGGGTACGCTTCTCTGTGTCTCTCCGGTTTGAATGATTGAGCGCATGAACACGTGTACTTTGTGCGTATTCACTTGTTTTGGTATCATTCTTTTTACTCGCACCTATATATCAATCTATTCTCATTTATATTTTTTTCAGAGAAAATAACAAAATGTTCTCTTCTTCGTCATCTGGTGCAGGATCATCTTCGGGAGGAGGTTCTGGATCTGGATCTGGTTTTCCAATGCAGCCAAACCTACCGGGATCCCATCAGCCAAGATGCGCCATTTGCCTCCATGCCGTCTACATGCCGTTCAGAATGCCCTGCGGGCATATAAATTGCTTCAACTGTCAGAAGAACGTAGGCACAAGATGCACTTTGTGCCGTCAGGAGTTCAATGTCGGACTCTTCAATTACACTCAACAAATAAATCTCAAAGAAGCGGTTCATCCAAACTACGTGGACGCGCAACCGGATTCAGGTGGGCTTTTTTTTCAGTCCGCCAGACTTTGAGTGCAAATAATATGATGAATTTCCGTAAATACTCTAGAAGGACGACATTCAAACTGTCAACTTTAAGCCCATATTTCTCATTTCCTGAAGTAGATATCAAAAAGTAGTCAACTGGTAAAACGTTTATAATGGTATCAGAAATTGTTTATCGGTTGACAAATTTCTAATATCTTTTACAGTAACCGAGAAAAATTGGCTCAAGGTGAAGACCTAGAGGCAGCATTAGTGTGTCTACGGTCTTTTATTCCTTTTCCAACTTTTTTCTGTATTTCAGACGGAAGAGTCTTCGTTCAAGACATGGTCTATGAACGCGATGAGGACGTCAAGCCAAGCGTTGAGGAGCTAAAAGGTAGGATCCAGTTATGATTACGACCCAACTTTTTGAAATTTTCAGCCGCGATGGCAGCAGCGGCGGTAGCGGCGCAGCCAGTGACAACTGAAGGAAAAGAAGTTGCTCCTCCGAAGATGCCATGTGAGTTTTTTTAATCATTTTTACACCACAATTAGTAGTTTTTTCAGACTTCCATGATCGGAACTCTAAAGTCTTCTGGCTCTACCAGTCCAGATCCGTGAAAGAAAAAAAAGAGGCCTGGTGGCGCTTCAATGGTAGAATGGAGTTGGACATCGAGGAAGCATTTCAAAGGCGCGACGACGGTTACATGGTTTACATAGATGGACAGAACTACTCGATCGACTTTGATGAGATGATCCAGTTCCGGATGTCGAATCCTGCCGTGAGCAGAAAAATCAAGAGAGTGAACAGTGATGAATTTGACCAGCTTCACGTATTGGGAATCGGTGGAGTAATGGCAAAGACCGGAGAGTGGGAAGTGAAGTAATTAATAAATAATTAGGTTTTTAATCCCCACCACCTAATCTTAATTCATCTTTCTCTTATTGTTTTTCTCCTTCTTCTGCAGTCTGCATTCTACTGTACTCGCCTCAAAATTTTCCGAAAAAAATTTTTGTCCCACTCCTCAACTTTCCTCCTCGACTTCCTTGCTGACAGCCGATGACATGTGTCGTCTTGCCTCTCATTTTTTTAATATGATCCAATCTATGAGCCTAATTATGAGCCTGGTATCTTATCATCTCGATTCTATATCAATTTTCTTGAAGATTTCTGAAATTTCAAATGTTTTCTTGTCACACCTCCTCCCCCAATGATTTCTTCCTTGATCCAAATTCTGTGTTCCCTTTCTTCTAAAAATCTCGTGATCCCAATGACAAATTCTATTATTTCTATTATTAGGGGATGCTAGCAAATGTTCCCATTTTATCAGCTTGCAATCGCCTCACTTTGATTCGAGATTTCATGGATTTTGATTCTTTTCATGCTTTTGATATTGCCTTTCGGTTGATATAATGATTTTCACTCAATAAACTGTTACTGGAAAAATTTTGGAAAGTATGAACAACTGTCCAAAAACAGATTTAGAGTTACGTTTTAATTGTATACGAGGAAAAAGAATAGTCTTAAAGATCATGTTGCAAAACTTAGACCATCGCTTCAAAATGACCTAGAAAATACACCAGGCATGTCAGCTCATTTCCAGGTCATTTTATTAAGTTGGCTTAGAAAAATCACTTTGCAAAAGTCGGGCCACCCTATTAGAAAAAAAAACATTTTGAGACCATTTATCATGATGCGCTATAAAATTCTAGTTTAGAAAGTTAGGCCACCCAATTTCTCTGTGATTTTCGAAATTATTGAAAAAAAGATTTCGAAAAATTGTTTGAAAACTGTTTCAAAATTTGACATGAAGAATATTTTCAGTTCCTGGTTCGGTTTTTTGATCGTTGTTTTCAGAACATAAAATTTAAGAAAGAAGTGACATAAGAAAAAGACGAAAAGTAAGAAAACAAAAACTGTGAATTCACATTGGTTAAAATCCGTATAAAAGATAAAAGGAAAAGAAATAAATTTTATTCTGGACTCCGAATCATATTCATAAGTCTTTCAACAACGTTTCGTTCAACCTTCAATTCTACCATGATGCCACAATGCAACTTTCCCATTGAGGATGCTGAACGAGAAGAGGAACTTAAGACACGCTAATGACTCTTTCGGATTTGAAAAACTTTCATTTGAATGGTGAAAATTTGATTTAATACTGAATGAAAATTGTTTAACTTCACAAAAAGAGAGACAGAGACTTATTTTCAACGAAAAATTCAAACAATAGTGTTTTAAGTCTTCGACATGCTTCGAAAGATGATTTTCATTATTCAAATAAGAAACAAAAAGGATTCGCAGTCAGCAGGATTCGAACCTACGCGGGCAGAGCCCAATTGATTTCGAGTCAATCTCCTTAACCACTCGGACATGACTGCATGGTCAGAGGAAGGTTGTATTCGCAAACAAGAGCCACCCGCTGTGTATCGCTTGAGAGGGAGACGAAAAGAAAAGAGGAATTCGGTCGCGCAAGAGAGGGAAACGAGAGAGGTGCATCTCTCGTTTCTCTCGCGTGCGCTGGGTGAGAAGAGAAGTTTCCATTATGTGTATGCCTAGCGCAACAGATAGAAACGTCTGCAGTCATGTCCGAGTGGTTAAGGAGATTGACTAGAAATCAATTGGGCTCTGCCCGCGTAGGTTCGAATCCTGCTGACTGCGTTAAAACTTTTTGGTTTCATTTCCGTATCATCTTTTAAAATTTACTTTAACAGATGTTTTGGATTATTTTTGAGTTCTGACATTTGCTGAAATGATACTCTACGTTTCACAAATCTAGACAATTGAAAAAAAATTAGCTTGATATGCAAAAAAAGAAGCGTCAAATAATCGAAATTTTTTTCTTTAACAATTTCAAAATTTCATATCAAGCAAATTTTCAAATTGTTTTTCAAGACGAGAGTATGCATTCTGTTAGTCTACCGTACTTTTTTCTAATAAAATCTCACCCAAACCGTCAACTTCAAACTCATCTCAATTCCTGTACAACAGATCAAAATTTTGTAAACTAATAAAATTTTGGTGACATTATGGCAAACGTTTTATCAGTTGACAGATTTTTGTTAGCTCTCATAGAAACCGAGATAATTGAGCTCAAGGTTTACAGATAGGGTGGGCCTCTGTTAAAGCTGATGCTGTATTGAGAAAATCAACAATTCATTAATTATCTCTTTTTCTTAGCAAAATCTTCTGTAAATTCTATCTAGCTAATTTTCTGCTTCTGAAGCAAGCATTTGTGCAGTGAGATGCCTTCCGAAAAAAGGTCGAATTTCACAGACGAGGGCAAGGCCGCGGTCGCGCCATAAATTTTTGTTTTCCATCTTATTCCTCCCTACATGTGTCGCTGGAAACTTATTGTACATTTGCAATTTTTTTTCTTAAATTAAGAACATTTTCTGAAAATGTTAGTACCATAAATATTGCACTGGAACAATTCCGAAAAATTTTTTCAATGCAGAACACATTCATCCATCCCCCATTTTGTGTTTCTTCCTGAATTTCTCTGAACAAAAACAATGCTTCTCCTTTTTTTCGTTTTACAATGTCACTCGCACTCTGCTGAAATTGAAGAAGGGTATTAGTCAAAAGATTGAACGTGCATTATCCTCATTCCATCCAGAATTTTTCTCTTTCTCTTGTCATGTGCGCTCTTTTATATTCGTATTTAGGAAAATGTTTTGGATCCGTTTTTCAATCAGATTTATGTGTATTACTATTTTTTGTGAATATTCAAAAATCAGACTTCTCAGCAGTTTTTGCGAAGATTAGCTTCTAAGAAACCGACAAACCCCTTCTGAACGTAATTTTACAATTATCTCTGTTAATAGAAGTCTTTCAAGGAATTGATTTCTTAAAAGTATACTGTAGTCACAGAATGTGCAAACACCGATACCAAGATTCCCAAATATTTCTTCAAGAACATTCTCTTTAATTGTCTCGTTTCGATCTCATGACATGGTTCTCTTCATTACTTTTTTTTTCATCTTGTTCTCACCCCATTTCTCATCAAAAATTCATATCGAATTCATCCATTTGTTTCTATAGATGAGGGGCTCTCCATTTTTCTCCCGTTTTTTTCCTCCTTCTAGCACACATATTCCCTGACGTCCTCTACGAAGATTATTTTCTAGTAATCTCTCTCTTCAAAGCGCCAGTTTGTGAATATGTGCGCGCGGGCGGGCTGGCGAGTGTGTGTATGTTGGAGAAGTATCTCTTCTTTTGTTATTTTTTCTCTTTACTCTCCTCACAATGAAAGTCGCCACCTCCTGTTTTTTTGTCATCAGTGCAGCTAAAGGTTGACATGGTTACCGATGCTTTCTGGTGGCGCCCGCATATGGAAAGATGACAGATTTTGGGCAGATTAGAGAGAAAAAAAGAAGCACAGCTTTTATCAGTGGCAGCTTTGTTTTCAGACCGCTTCGCGCCTTTGTCCACACGCACGCTTTGCACTAACTTCTCACTTCTTCAATCTTAGTTTTATGTGTTCTCACGCTAGTAAAAGATTTCTGGATTTCAGATGGACGAGGAGAATCCAACCGATCAGCCTCAAGTAGATCTTCCAGCTAACAATGATGACGCTGAGGGCGCACCAGAAGCTATGGAAGTTCAGGAAGATGCTCAGGATGCTCCTGAAACTCAGGAAGCTCCAGAAGCCCCAGAAGAACAGGTTCAAGAAGAGGACAAGGTCTATCGAGAAGTGCACGTGACAATTCCGGAAATCGGAATGATTGCTCAGAGATACTGTAAAAACAAGTTATTCTGAAAAAACAATTCTTTTGTTTTTCAGTTCTGGAACAACGCAACGGTATTGTAAAACTTCTGGATAATGCTCCAGCTGGTGCCATCCAACTTCCTAATTTGCCAGTGCCGGAGGTAGGATTGTTCAGTTTCATGAGAATTTGAACAATGCAAAATTCCAGGTTCCAATTGTTCGTCCAATTCCAATCCGCCCAGACGGGGCTGTTCGCCCAGAAACTGCACCAGCTATTCAGGAAATCGGCCCTCCAGTTCAGCCGGAACCAGTTTTTCAAGAAGTGGTTCCAGAAGCTGCTCCCGTAGAACAACCACAGCCAATCCCAGCTGGTCTACAAATGATTCCAGTCTTCCGACTGACACAGCCAGTAAACCAAATCGCCCACTCTATGATTGCCCTCCTCCAGGCCCCACCTACACAGGTGGTTATCAACTATTTCCCCGCCCCAGCCCCCCAAGAACCAGTCAACCTTAACCCTGCCCTTGTTTTTAATCAATATCCTTTAAATCTCGAACAACACATTGTTCCTCCTCCTCTATACCCGTATGGACACCCAGGCCTCGCAATGACTCCGAATCCCTATGCATTGTGGAATCCAGGGGATGGATTGTTAGGTGATTTTGATAACTGGAACCTCCGTGCTCCTCTTCTTCCTCCACAAGATCCTCTCTAATACAATTGAATAAAAATCTTGACTGCGTTAATCCCTCTCCACATCATCTATTCCTTTTTTGATCTCATCCCAATAAATTATCAGAATCTCAATTCTAACTAACCTCTATTTATCACTATCTCCTTTATGTTAGTGTTAGTTGTTTTTCACTCTGTTAAAAATCAGAAAATTTTGTATCCTCTGTCTCCTTGATAATAAATATTTTTCGTGAGTAATATGAACAATCAGAAACAAAACCCACTAAATAAACACTCTAAACGAAAAAAAAGTGTCATGAACATAGTCAGGTTGGCAGCCGATCATAAGATAAGAGCTATGTAATCAAAACATGAATGGCATGCGCCAAAGAAAACAAGAGGAGAACGCGGAAAGCAGAAAAAAACCGTCTGACACAGAGATTTAGTGTGATGCGCGCACTTTTTTGTTGTCGAGAGGAGGGTTAGATAGCCATTGAATAGAAACAGGCCTGAATTTGCTCAACACTCCCCCCTGTCCATCGGCGGAAATTCCGTTCTTGCTCTCTTTTTGTTCATCGAACGGTAGTCGCCTCTCTCCCGGTGGTCAAAACTTTCTCGGGCTTCTCTCTCCATGCTCTTTTTATGAAATCTACCTATTTTTTATGTCTCTCTTATACCAAAAGAAGAAAAAACACTGGAGTTTTTATGCAGTTTCTATATCACTTTCTAGTTTTTGTTTCCTATTTTCTAATTAGTATTGAAGCGGTGTTGGATAGAAATTGTACGCATTACACGGCAGCTGGAAAGGCAAGTTTATTTTTTTTTTGGAATGTGTAATGAAGCATGTGTGGTAAGGAGGTGTCGGAAAAATGAGTAGAAAATTTGAGATAAAAAGAATGAAAGGGGATCAGTTCTTCCCCATTAGTATTTTCTGTTTAAATGAAGAGCTGGAAAAAGCTTTTTTGAGCTAAAATTCTGTTGTAATTCACAAGGGAACCTAAAAATCTTGTCAACCCAGATTTCGATGAGCGATGGGAAAAGCCTATGGATGGGAAAAGTCTATCTAGATGCCTCTGAAAATTTTATAGTCCGTTCGCCACTTCCAGCTGACATGAGTTAAGTAAGTTTCAGTACAAAAATCGCGTTTTCAATGCAAAACCTTTTACTTAATTTCTAGGGCGTTTGAGAACATAAACTTTATTGAGAAATACTCAAAACTGGATGAAATTCCATATTTCAGACACTTTTTCAAATATTTTTCCAAATTTTCGAATAAATTCAAGTCGGGAAAACTTTTAAAAATTGGAAACATTTTTTTATGAAATGCCTGAAATATGAAATTTTATTCAATTCTAAGTACAACAAAACAGACTTTATGTTCTGAAACGTCATAGAAATTGAGAAACCTTTCTTCGAAACTTGCTGTTTTACACTGATAATGCTATTTTTGTTGTTGAAATTGATATAATTTGGCTGGAACTGGTGAGCGGATTCTTAAAATTCTGAACAGTCACGACGGGCTATTCTTATTTTATCCTTAAATTTTTAAAGAAATTTTGGTTCAGAAAAAGTTGAGATTCCGTTGTCAGAAGAACTTCAAAAGGCTTTGCGAAAAATGTTAGCTTCAAATTTTAATTCTCAGAATTTTTCTAGTACGTCTCTCATTTCCGGACTGCGAAAAACAAAACCTATCAAAACGTTTTCATACACGAAACATGATTTCAGTATGCAACAAATGCCGTCAATTGTGACAATATCTACAGTGACGATGCGTGTACAATGATATACGGTAGCAGCGTAATGGTTGGGACGACTACTGAAAGACCACTCTTATGTTTTATGGTAATTCGTTTCTCTAACGTATTCTCATTTTCTCATTCACACGCTTTTGCATTTCAGCTTAACGGGGAGAGAAGTGAGGAAATGAAAAGGATATCCATTAGCACCTGCCCCAAAACTTGCGGATATTGTTGCCAAACCGAGCCGTTTGATTGCAACAACTCACCTTGTAAGAAAAAAACTATAGGCTTTGAGCATACTCGGAGATGTTTAGAGAGTTTGGAATTCCATAAATTTTTTTTTCGTAGTATTTATTTCAGAATTTTTTTTGGAATGAGGGGTTTTTGACTACGATATGTCAAAGACGCACACGAAAAGTTTCAACCGGAATTACCGTTTCTATTTTTTGCGTTTTCGCAATCTTTTCGTCTATTTTTGACTAATTTTTAGCCTTTTTGTGATGCGACATTATCATTTAAAATGATTATTTTTATTTTTAAATTTAATGTTTAAAAATTCTGAAATTTTGAAATTTTGAAACTCGGAACTTTTCACATTCCGGACATCTCTGAGAAAGTCATTCCAAGTATCCCTGCTCCAAGTTCTCCAAAACCAATAGAATTTTCAGTCCCTCGTATAAATTGTGCATTGGTGACGAGTAGAATGTGTCGAGATCCTCAATGGAGGGAAGTTCTCATCGAGGATTGCCCCAATGTTTGCGGTTTTTGTCTAGAAGGTGCGTATTATTGATTTTTGACTTCTCAACTATGTTTTCTGAATTTCAGGAGGCTGCTATGACAAAGCTGTTGACTGCACAACAGACATTTCGATTTGTATGAATGTGGGAATGCAGGATTTTGTTAAAGTGAGTTTTTCAATTTTGAGTCACGCTATAGGATGAAGAAAGTTAATTTAATGAGTTAGCAACTTAATGATGGTCTCCCGGCTTATGGAAAATAAATAAAAGTTGAAGTTTTAATTGTTTGAATGATATATAAAAACGAAAGTCATCGAACTTTGGATTTCTGATCCTCTACAACTTCTTGAGACTACTTACAAGATGCAAATAAACTTGACTTTCTAGGAATACTGTCGCAAAACTTGCGGATTTTGCCGACCAACCGCCACCACCACACCTGACCCCGAGTTCCGCGGCACCAACCCAAATTGTGTGGATTATAATACAAAGTATGACACCCCTCCCGTTTCCTAAATCTCTAAATTATCCGTTTTCAGTTGTGCCAGTTGGTCGTATCGGGGATATTGTACCAGTCCGTTCTACAGTTACGAGACCAAGTTTGCGAACTGTGCGGCAACATGTTCACTTTGCTAGTACTTTATTTATTTATTTATTTAATTTATTATTTTTGTTCGTTTTGTTCGGATCTCAATTCATATCACTAAACGTATGAAACAACAACACTTCCATGTCAGAATTTTTAGATTATTTGCATAAATAGATAGTTCTTCTTGGTCTTGGAGGAGGCAACAGCAAAAAAAAGATGAATCTTGTGTTTGCCTCGAAAGAAGCGGAGTCAGTTGTAATTACATGGAAGGAATGAAAGGAGAAGAAACGGAGGATGCGAGATCTAGATAATTGTTCTCCAGGCTCTTGTGCCCTTTAAGGCTTGAATTAATGTGGACGAGACATGAAGAAGTGCACAGTGGCAAGGTGTTGTGCTGTAGAATTATTTATGATTTCCCCTTCTTCCTCGTTTTTCAATTGGCGAGACGCACTTTTTTACCAACACTATTTTTTCATGTTTCCACATCATTGCATTATTCCAAATTTCGAAGTCAACACTCAAAATGAAACAATGAAAGTTTTTCCTACTGCTGTAAAAATTGTCTAGTCAAAATTTTTTTAAATTTCTGTGTAGTTTTCCAGTTTGATAAAATTAAAAACTGTAAGAACTGGAAAATGTATGGGATCGGAACCTAACCAGTATACACTATGTTGAGTAAATCGTGAAAATGTATTAGCTCTAGATTTCCTTGATTGGGAAGTTTCTGTTAATTCCAATGTGTGGAAAGAGTCCGAAAATAAATTGTTTGATAAATAATTCAAGATGAGAATATGTTTCTGTTGTTAATGGACGTGAAGCAATTGACAAATTGAATTAATTTTTTAGAAGTGTCTTTTGCAAAGTTAAACATGAAAACTGAAAATCGTAACTTTTGCTTGTCTGAGAATTTATCTATAGACTGGAATTCGTTTTTTTAAATTCTCTACAGTTCTAAAAATTTTTTGAAGAGGGATTTTGCTCAGAATATTTTATTGAATTAAAATGTGTAAAGAAATATGTAGATTCAAACATTCAAAAATTGAAAAAGAATTGAATTCCTCAAAAAATGACTTCAAAAAGCTGAATACCCATTTTTAACAGTTTGCAGAGGTAGAATTTAAAGTTTTTGCAAGAATTCGATAGAAATTTGAGATCCCTTCAGAAGTTTTCAGAAACAAGGTTTATCAGCCCCTGGAAGCAATTTTTTGAAGTTTTAAAACTAAGAAAAGTAGTTTATTAGTAGTTTTTTGGCCATTTTGAGATTTTCAGTAATCTGGAGCCCGGATGTCAAATTTCCGATCACTTAGAAAGTTTTGGTGAATGTAAAATAGACCTAAAATTAAAAATTCGCACTCATACAATTTTTTGAAAATTTCTAGTTTTTCAACTAATTGCCGATTTCTGAAAAACACGTTTTTTGTGTATTCAGTACAAAAACCCCTAAAAATGGTCAAAATAGACGATAATCGATTGAGAATTTTCTTGGTATACCGTAAAACCTCTAATAGAACGACACCCGGATCGTCCACTTTGAGCCTATATATCTCATTTTTTGTGAGAGATATCAAAAAGTGACTAACTAGTAAAATGTTGCTGATATCCTGATAAACATTTTACTAGTTAACCACTTTTTGATATCTTTCAAAAGAAGTGAGATATATAGGCTCAAAGTGGACGATCCGGGGGGTCGTTCTATTAGAGGTTTTACGGTATCCTACTGAGCGGTGCAAGGTATATACTACTAAGCGGTATACCCTACTGACCGGTGTCCTCAATATAAAAAATTTGATATTTCGAAATGATTTTTTGTTCCGTCGGTCATGTTTATTCCACTAAAAAGCCGCCGGTGTCCAATTGAATAATCCCATTCTCAAACAACATTTTCTTATCATCATACCACCCGGCGTCTTCTTCATGTCCAGTACTATTCCACCAGTCATTTCAAATTTTCATTTCTATTTTTCCATTCGTTATCTACAGCAGAACCCAAATGCTATTACTTCAATGCCACTCATTTTCCTATTCTTTTTGTTTTCTTTGTTTTAAGAGGAGCACCGTTTGAAAAATGGATAGTGTGCAAAGTCATTTTCTACTTTATTTATGAAGATGAGAACGGGAGAGAAAATGGAATTGAAAGAATAACTGGAGTAATGGATGGCCACCATGGATCTTCTTCGCTCAGTAAATGAAATGAGAATAATGATTTATATTCCAAAACGCCCATCGGGAGGCATTCTGCAAAAAAATATTTCAATTTCATTAACGCTTCAGTAAACTTAAATTATTTCGCAAAACCGAAACCGTTCTGCGATGCGATAATTTATAAAGAAGCGATTTTCTTCCACTTCTTTATTCTTGCCCTTCTTATCCTCTTTTGAGAGTCCCTCTTGTATAATCCACACAACCTTTTATTCTTCTCTCCCCGCCTCCTCCTCACACTTTTTCACTCTTCTTTCTTTATCCAAATTTTTCCATTATTGCACTGAAAAAGAAGGTCCACTTTTCTAGTGCATGTGTTGTTTTGTAGAAATTTGTAAATTGTATTGTTCGTGACAATGTGTCACTTTTTATATACAGTAACGGTTAAAGGTGTTTTTCAGTTGATTTTCATAATTTTCAGGAGTCTCGAGCTATCAAGTGTCGGATCACTTTGAAAACTTTGAAAGGTTGAAAACAGACCTAAATTGAAAACTTGACTGTCACAGAACTTTTGAAGTTTTCTAGTTTTTCAGTTGTTTGTTGATTTCTAAAAGACACATCCACGTGTTCAGAACTAAAACGGACCGAAAAAGGGTGTTGTTCAGAAATCGGCAAATAGCTAAAAAACTAAATTATAGAAATTATGTGAATTCAAAGTTCCTTTTATACCTTTGAAAACTCTCAAAGTGATCCGAATCTTGACAGTCCAGCTCCAGATTTCTGAAAATAGTCAAAATAAACTGAAAACATGGTTTTTCAAATCTTATTTACCGGTACTTCATCTGCTGGCTATTTTTTTCCAAATTAAAAAAAAATTGCATGGTTTCTAGAGCTGGTTCAAAAATCTGCATATGCTTTTTTGCTTTAGATTTTGAAATTTTTGCTTATCTCAATAAAAAAGCCTCATAAAAACAATGCGACCATATGGCTATCTTTATGATTCAAATTTTTTGAAGTGGTCCCACGCAAAAATGCAACATTCTTCTTTTTTTTTGTAGAATCAGTCCTTTGAGACTTTCACCCGACTCAACTTGTCAAGTGATTAATTCACGTGTTCTACACTTCTAACAAACGTTTCTGGACCTCCATCTTTTCCTTTTCCGATTCCTCCTTCTCCTTCTTCTTCTAAATTTCCAACATGTCCTTGTGAACACACAAGGAGAAAGTTCTCCTACCGCCAGATGTCGGATCCCGGGGGAGCAGCGGTTATTTGCTGCGTATTATCTACTTTTTGGCCCCATGTTTGGAGTTTTCACCCCCTCCTAATGTTCCTTTTTTTGTGCTCTTTCTTACACCCAATCACATTCTCTTTGTCATTTTTTTTGGGGGGGGGGGGGGGGCTCTTTTCAACGGTGTGTGTGCCCTCATTTTTTGGTTTTTTTTTCGTTTTGTTTTTGTTTCGGGTCCAAGGATCTGTTCTTTTTTCTCTATCTTCTGAAAAGCCATTTGTGAGACCAAGGCTCTGAGACAAAATAAAATTAGAAAGAGAAGGAAAAAGGTTTGAAAGGTACTGAATGAAGAAAAAATGTGAATGGAAGTGTGTGTGGCATCCGTTTCTAATTCACTTTGGTTTTTTTTTTTGGAAAGACTTGAACCTTATTTTGTGGAGATTTTGTTTCCAGGTTCCAAGTACAAGGTTTTTGAAGAAGTAAAAGACTTCAAAGGAGTGGGTTGTAGAACCGGAACAAATAGTGACTCTAGACGAGGTGTTGTGAAATTTCATATTCTTCTAAAAAGCTACCTGAACATGTTCAGAGCTCATTTTTATGAACATTTACCTTTTTTCCCAGAAATCAACTTAAAAAACGTGAAAATTGAAGATAAATAGTTTTTTAGAAAATCCTTTTATTAGGGGTCCTTTATCCGTTATACGAAGAACCTCAATTTTACAAATTTTCTAATTCTAAAAAAGTAGTATGATGATTAAATAAGGGCATTAATATCTAACTTAAAACCTGATGTTTGCTGCTGTTCAACTCAAAAACTTTGTTTCTGATAGATATGACATAAATAGATAAAGTTAGGAATTTTATTTTATCCGGAAATCAGTATGTTTCATTCTGTAGTTTTCGAGAAAAGTTAGTTGAAAATCATTTTCTGACCATGTGAATCAGAATATTATTTGAATAATGTTAAGAAGAATTTGGGGGTATTCCACACGAAGTTCGAAATTCCGAAAATTTCAAAAATTTGGACCTTTTTTTCGTTTTCGAAGTCCTTCTTTTAATTGTCACCAGTTTTTGACGTTTTTGTAATGGAAAAATGGAATTATACTTTTTAATTTGAATTTTAAAATTTCCGAAATTTCCGAAATTCCGAACATTTTGAAATCGGGAAATTTCTAAGTTCCGAAACTCCGAAATTTTAAAAATCCGAATTTTCGACATTACGAGGTCATTTCAAACATTCCTGGTTCATTTTCACACTTCTCTTCCCTTCTGGAAAATAATTCAGTTGATTTTTAAAAAGAAAATGACTTTTCAAGCAAAATATTTATGAATATGCTCTCAGGTTGGTATTCGCTGCAAAAATTATAGCTCTATTCGGTTCATGAAGCTTTTTGTTCAATAGAAAAATCTCCATCTACCTTGATAGGATCATAAACGTTGTCTTTTATATTCCACCATCTACCTCTCTTTTTTACCGGAATTGCCGTCCCATATTTTCTCGCAGGTGCATAAGGTAAACTCGGTCGTAAAACGTTCTTTTTTCCATTTCTCAGATAGGGGACATAAATTTTGAATGACCCCCAACACTAAAGCTCATTTCATCGCCTCCAGCTCCGTTACCTTCTTTTACCGAGTCCCATACTAGTTTCCGTTCCATGTTTTTCCCCTGTTTTTCAATGTTTGTGTTATAACTTCTTTTTCTATTTTTTCGCAACACTCCCCTTTTTCCATTTGATCAAATATATGCCTTTTTACGGTTTTTCTCTACTCTCCATGTTTACTGAAAGCTTATCAGTGATTTTTTGTGTCTGTTGCTATTCAACCACCTTCCACCCTCCCTCTCAACATGATTCATATGATTCATATGACCAGCGGAGCAACAAGACGAGAAAAAAACATCAGAATGTCGGTATAGAGCAAAAGGAAAGTTTTTTCTTCCCTTACCGCTATTATAAATCAAGCTAAGCATCCGTATAAAAAATAGCTGAGATATGGATGCCGTGGGCCACTAGACTCTTGAACCCTACAGCTCACATACACACACACAAACACACACGTCTGCTCACGTTTCCTCGTTTCGAACGCCTTTTCGCTTATTTTTTGTGCGTGCCCTCGTTCCTTCCCCCTCTTTCAAATTCTTTTTCTTTTCTCAATTCCCTTTCATCTTTTTTTTTCGAAAAAATATAATAGGTGATTTTTTCGGTTTCTGTGGTCCGTGTCTAGCCTCGAAAACGCTTCTGGCCTACACTCATCTCCGTGACGTCCTACGTTGAAATTTGAAATCGTTTTCAGAATTCATTGAGCTATGCTCCCCAGAGCCAAGGGACCAGATTTTTGAGAGGGAGAGAGAGAATAATTCTTGTCATCGATTTCATAGGTACAATGAATCTCGGAATACCAGTAGTGCACTTACCTAGATTGAGTTTTTATTAGTATTCTAGGTTTTATATGGTAATAAACTATAAAAAGGAGGATATTCCTCATTCTTAGCAGATAGGGACCTAATTCTGAACATTTTCATGTCTACCGACCCGTGAAAATATAAAAAAAATCCTTCTCAAATTCTTCGTATGCTCTTATTTTGATTTGCTTCGAACTTCACGTCATTGTATTTCACCTTACTCTTAAACTAGACGTTTTTCAGACTTCAAAACAGGTGAATCTGAAATTATTTATGCATGTTTCTTTCCACATGATTCAAATGGACAGTTGGCTCGTTTTTGCAATCATCGCCGTCATTTTTGTTGGTGATGTTGTCGGCGATAAGTACTCCTGCACGTCCGGTAATTCATTTCTGAGTTCAGTAATTTTCAAAAAGGAAATCGCATATTTTGAAATATTAAAAGGCTTTAAAAAAATAAAGAATATTTTGTTGTGGGGGGAGGTTTATAAGGTTATACTGATCTAGGTGGAAGTTCAAGCGACGTGGTATATCCGGTGAATTATTGAAGGTTCAGTAACCTTCATGTTCCTTGAACAAGGAACGGATATTTTTTTTAATAGGCATGATGATGTTATATCTGTTCATTAAGTATGGAACTATTGAGTTTATTTGCTTCAATAGCCTTCACCCAAACTGTTAAATTTGAGCTCAGTCCACGCGATCCCTGTTAATGTTATCAAAAATGTACCAAGTGATAAATTATTTATCATGATTTCATCAATATGTTATCAGTTAACAAATTTCTAATATCTTTTTCAGTAATCGAGATAATTGGGATCAAAGTTGACTGCTTGGGTAGTCTTTTATTTTTCCAATTACGGTAACTTCACACCATCAAGTTCAGAAAACAGAAATACAGTACCGGTTAATAATATATACGAAAAGATAATTTCTGTTCATTTTCGGTCATTTTTATCATCCTCAGGAATCCGGAACTTGGCTGTCAAGGTTTTGATCTATTTGCAAGTTTTGGAGAGTGTGAAACAGACCTGAATAAAAAACATTGCATTCACAGAAATTTTGGAAGCTCTTGGTTTTTCGGCTATTAGTCGATTTCCGAGAGACACTTGTTTTTTCAGGTTTCAGTACAAAACGAGCCGAAAAGAGGTGTCTTTTCCGAAATCGGCAAATAGCTGAAAAACTAAAAAAAAAATTCTGTAAAACAATGTTTTCAATCTAGGTATGTTTTGCACCCACCGAAATTTTTTTAGTGTTCCTAAATTGGACAGCCGAACTACAGATTCCAGAAAATGATCAAAATAGCTGAAAACTAACTGATAACTAGGTTGCTGTAAATTTTATTGGCAGGTACTGTAGTTTAGGAAATGAATGGTAACATTAATAAAGAAAACCATTTCTATTTTGATTTTCAGATTACTATGTACACCGTCCACTGGAAACCTTTCAACGATCAGATCCAATTTTCAATTCACCATGCTCATGCGCACAAGACTGGAACACAATGTTCTGTAATCAGACGCTCACTGCTCTTCACGAAAATATAAATCCACTTCCAACAGTTTGTATCTGCCGCAAGTTTAATGACAACAGAGCCAAGTGCAGCAGTTCATAACAAGGTGTTTTTCAAGGAAGAACAATGAGTGGGTACTTTATTTTTATGACGTGCTGTTAGCACCTAGAGCATTAAACGCTTCTCGTCTATTTACACCTCCTCAAATCTTACAACTTTCAGATGCTCCTGCTGTTTCAACCAGCCAAAGGAATGGTGCAATCAGTTGAAGTGTAAAAATCGGGAACCCGATTTCTCGTGAGAATTATTAGGTTGGCGGGAAAGTCTTTGTCACTTTTTCAATAGTTTATTTCTCAAAGAAAAAATAACCGAATAATTAATTATATTGTCCATCATTATCAACAACATGTCTCCAACGTTCCCTCAATTTATGGATTCCATTGCGGTAGAATCCAGCCGGGCGTGAGGCAAAGTATTGTTTGAGTGCCGCTTCGACCGCTCCACGGGAATTGAAGCTTCTTCCTTCGAAGGCACGTGTCATATCGCCAAATAACCAATAGTCGGAAGGAGCAAGATCAGGAGAATACGGGGGGTGAGGGAGAACATTCCATCCATATCCCATCAGCTCCTGCTTCACTTGTTTCGAAACATGTGGGCGAGCGTTATCATGTTGATAGTACACTTTCTTGTCTTTCAGGGCCGAACGGTCGACTGCTTTCTTGAGGTTTCGTAGTTGAGTAGTGTAGAGGTCTCCAGTTATTGTTTTGCCCTCGGGCAGAAGTTCCCAGTAGATGGGGCCGTCCACTCCCCACCACACAGAGAGCATAACTTTTTTCGGATAAAGGTCGGGTTTGGGGACATCCTGTGGGCTCTCTCCTTCTCCAACCCACTGGGATTTCCTGTGGTGATTATCGTAGAAGACCCACTTCTCATCTCCGGTTATTAGCCGGTCCAGCCATCGATCGCCCGCGTGGAGAGTGAGAAGAGTAATCGAATCGTCGACTCGGCGGTCAAGGTTGGCTTGAGTCAGGTGATGAGGTATGAATCGACCAAAAAGTTTTCTCATTCCAAGAGACTTCAAACCTTCAAGGACTGTGCTATGGTGAACTCCGAATGTGACAGCTAGTTCACGGCTAGATTGAAATGGATCCGATTGCAATGCGTGCTTCAGCTTGTCCAAATCCAACTCACGGGGTCTCCCAGAGCGATCCTTTTCATCGAGCGAGAAGTCATCTTTTTCGAAACGATGGAACCAATTGCGAATAGTATTGTAGTGAGGGGCATGTGTGTTGTACACATTCTTCAAGAAAGTTTCCGAATCCTTCATCGTGGTGTGAGATAGGAAGAGGTAAATCAAAACATGTCTGATGTGAATAGCAGTGGGAACAAACATATCGTTTCAATTACAGATGAGGAGCAGGGAAGGAGATGGGGACTTGTTTATATGGAAGGTTCTTATCACCTTGTTATTCACTAGAGTCGATATCATACACAGCCTCCATATACGAGAACAGTGATTAAACAAACAGAGTGACAAAGACTTTCCCGCCAACCTAATATTTTATTCTAGTGAACCTCAAAATTGTCAAATTGTTGCAGGAACCCGGACACGACATGTGTGTGTCATCACAACCCGGCGGATTATCCCTATGACATATGCAAAAATCTATTCCCTAGAGACAGTGATTTTGCCAATCGCCAAGCAATCTTGGATAAGAATCGAGAGAGAAGCCAGGGAACAGTTGAGGTGAGGATTTCAATGTTTGACTAAAGAAACATAAAATCAAATACACAAAAACGTATTTTTCTGTTGACTTTGCTGCCACATAATTTTCAGAAATTCTTAGTTTTTCAGCTATTCCAACTTCTAAAAAAATCTTTTTTCCACGTTTTTAGTAAAACAGCAAGCAAGAAAAGGGAGTTTTTCAAAAATCGGCGAATAGCTGAAAAACTGTTAATTTTCCAAAAATCTGCGGATGCAAAGTTTTCAATCTAGGATTGTTTTACACCCCAAAATTTTTCAAAATGATTGAAAACTTGCCTGTCGGGCACCTGACTGTCGAAAATCTCAAAAGTTGAAATAATATATATCCAAAAAGCAACTGAAAATACATTTTTGTATGTTTATTTTATTGATTAATGCAGCGCCGTTAATTAGTTTGCCATTTGTCAAAATTTGGAATGAAATAAAGGCATGATTGTTAGTTGAACTAAAAAACGTTTGAAAAACGTAGAAAACAAAATTTCAATAAATAGCATTGACCAGTTTTAAAATTAACTATCTGACGCAATTAACAAAAAGTTCTTGAATTGATATAACCGGAAAATCGAAATGCGGAATCAAGTCTACAGAATATTATTAAAGTAGTCCCTTTTAAAAAAGTTGCGATTTTCTTATTCTAAGTTAAAAATAGAAAAACGTCAAACCTTTAAAAAAAAACAACCGAAACAATACAAAACTTTTTCCAGTACGTCGAACTCCTCGGCAAAAGAGTTTCCACTTCTGTCGTCAGCTACATAATAGTGGGTTTGTTGCTGTCAGTTTCAGTATTGACCTTGGTGATGCTTGTCCTCGGTGGAAAACGATTACGACAAAAACGTGCCGAACGTCAGCGCCAAATACGATTGGCCAGAGAGACACTGATTCTGCAAAGAGCTGACGACGATCGATATCTACCATCTGCTTGAATAGCTGTAGTATGTTTCTTTAGCCTTATAATAATGCTGTAAATTTATCGAAACTTGCTCATTTCACTTTCTCCACGCCTACTTCACTCTCCGACCAATGCTAGATCTCTTTCATTTGCTACCTTAATTGCTTTTAAGATTATTTATTCTTTTCAGTCAAATACTAGATACCTAACGGGTAATATTTTTACATTTTCCCAGTTTCACTGTCCTTTATTTCCGAATTTTTTTCCCAAATAAATTAATTTCCAAAATAGATGGAACAAATTTTGAAAAAATGAACTCCAGAGTACAAAAATAGCTTGTGAAACATTTGAAAAACAGGAAGATGTACATAAAAACTGATGGTTTCAGAGCTGGGTCGCTTGGATGTGGTCACGGAGTACAGAAGAGTTGAAACAAAATTTGCAAATGAGAGGGTTGAAATACAATGATGTAAGAAAATTAAGATTAAAAAAATGTTTTTTCTGAAAATCGAACAAGTGCAAGACGCTTTGAAAATTGAGTTCTTAGAACTCTTGTGTTTTTTTTTGCGTTTCCCATTTTCTTTGCATACATTAGGTTCAAAAAAGAAACAAGAGAAAAAACAGAAGCTGTGTCTAGTTGATGATCATTGCTCAACGAAGGGGTCATTGAAAACCTTGAGGTCATAATGGCCCCCTAAGTAGGTAATTAGGGTCAGGAAAAAGTTAGAAGGAATAATAGGTCAACTACAGGAAGAGAGAAAAAAATAAAAGTGATAGAAATCAAATCGTGGATCATCAAATATAGAGGAGAAATAGAAGAAGCGGATGGGAAAAAACATTTAAATGAGAAGAAAAAATGGGAAATTTTTTTGGTTAGATTTTATGAAAAAATGTGATATCTCACAAGATGTAAAAAAAGAATAGAACATATTTCCACATTATCCAACTCTTTAAAGGATAGAAATTGGGGTTTATGGTACAAATTAGGTTTTCCAGAGGGAGACAACGTTCTTGACGGTGGTGCAAGCCGATGCGACAGTGTTCTTAGCCTTTTCAAAAGTGTCGTTGATAGCAGTCATCAAGCCTGAACATGTAGGAATAAAAATCAGGCTCTACAATCTTTTTAGAACAACACTAGTGGTGTTAACAACAGAACCGGGCAAGAAAATGTAAAAAATACTTTTTCAGTTGAATTTCGGTTATTTCGACAGTTTTCAGGAGTATGGAGTTGGACGGTTAAGTGTCGGATCACTTTGGAAATGTTGGAGGGTGTGAAAATACCTAGTCTGAAAACTTTGCGTTCACAGAATTTTTTTGAAATCTCTAGTTTTCATATTTTTGCCGATTTCTGAAAGATACCTTTTTTCACTATATCAGCATAAATGGACTGAAAAGCGGTGTCTTTTAGAAATCGGTGAGTTGCTGAAAAACAAGGAATTTTTGAAAAATTCTGTGAATGCAACGTTTTCAATTCAAATTGAAGCCTCCAACGTTTTCAAAGTGATCGGAAACTCGAAAGACAGGATCCAGACACCTGAAAAAGGTCAAAATGACCGAAAATAATCTGAAAATTACATTTTTGTACAGGTTTTTGGCTGGTGCTGTAAATTTTACAACCTTTTTCGAATAGCACTAATGCTGCTCACTATGAAATTCACTTACTTTCATACTTGTAAAATTCCGGGCCCGGGCCCGGGCCGGGCCGGGCCTGAGGAAGTTTTCAAGGCCCGGGCCCGGCCCGGAAGACTCGGTGTCAAAAATTCTGTATTTTTGAGCCAAATTTTGAGCTCTCAATATAAATTTTTTCCATTTTTTTTTTCGTATCTCGGATTGTTTGTCTGTCTGATCAAAAAAGATCAAGAAGCTCGAAAAAAAATTTTTTAGTCGAAAAAAATCACATAAGGGTCCCCCCTTATGTGTTTTTTGAAAATTTCGAAACTAGTGAAATGACGGGCCGGGCCTCCGAAATTCCGGAAAAAGCCCGGCCCGGCCCGTTACAAGTATGCTTACTTTCATCCTCCTCTGCATGAAGAGTCTCCAAGGCCACTTGTTCCGGAGTTTTACGATTCCCAGCAATGCGCCCAGCAATCTCTTGCTCACGAGCCTCGTCCTTCTTTTTCAGGTTGTACTGAAAACTTTTAAAATATCAATCGGAACGTATTAGGATTATCCTTACCTTGTTGCGGATTTGCTGACGCATGCGCTCACGATCGGCCTCCATTCTGCGATGCTTGTCTTTGCGACGTTTCTCTTGCTCTTGACGAGCAGCGACAACCTTGAAACAGAGCTTATGAGAAGGATAAAAAGGGTAAAGAAGTGGAACTAAAGCTGACAGCTGAAGCTTTTAGAGCGGGCAATTTTCAAAGTCACGTTTTAAAACGAAAAACAGTCACATGACTTTAAGGTCCTGAGGGATATGGTAGGTGATTTCCAAGTTCTTCTGAGTCATCTGAAAGAACTGAAGAAAGACGGCTTCTACTCAAGTAGAACAAATGCAAATGAAGAGCCCGGCAAGTTTTATAGCCTGACTAGCCTGACACTAAAATGACTTCCAAAAAAGGAGAACTCGGGACAGGGAACCAATAGGGGTGGGCCCTTCTGTTTCGTTTTTTCTTTCGTTCGAAAAATATCTTATTCATATCCAAGCACCAAAAAAAGAAGTCAAGTTTGAGACGAGGCAGAAAGTGGTAAAGTGGGCCGGGCGAACTTTCTATTGCTTTGAAATAGGGTTTGGGGCGTTGAGTGGGTGTAATTTGAAGTGAAACGACACCGGAAGAAACTGCGGTCAAACCACAATTGTTTATGGGAGAAGAGCAAGGAAGGAGAGAAGTGAGAGCGGAAATACTACCTGAGGAGTAGTGTTGTCCTATTCATCTAGTTGTCAAGGTCTCCATTAGAGGGTGATGTCAGAAGGATTCGTATCACAGTGAAATAAAACGGATGAATGAATATTGTGACATCTCGGGTGGCTAAACGAGTCTACCGATCACATCATATTTGAAAAATCAGGGTCATCAAAAAATTTTGATTTTTTCTTTTTCAGTTAATTTTGGCCATTTTCAGGAGGTTGTGACTTGGCTGCCCAGTTTCCGATCACTTTGAAAATTTTAGAGGATGTAAAATATGCCTAGATTGGAAACTTTGCACTCGTAGAAGTTTTTGAAAATTCACACTTTTTCAGCTATTTACCAATTCCTGAAAACAACCTATTTTTCATAATACAAAAAACGGACTACAAAAGGGTGTCCTTCTGATATTGGCAAAAAGCTGAGAAACTAGGGATTTTCAAAAAGTTCTGTAAATGCAAAGTTCTTAATCTAGGTTTGTTTTATTCTTCTCAAAATTTTCAAATGGATAGGAAACTTGAAAGAGAATTCGGCCCGGCCCGTAGCATGTATGATGAATATATTGAATTCATTTCTAAATGAGTTGTTTAGCAAAAAAAATGGTTTGAAAGCTTTAAACTTTGAAACATCCTACTCATCAGGAAAAGCGACTACTGAAAAAACTGAAACTTTTGGAATGAGAAAAAACTGGAACGGAAGGAAGCGTGGTAGAGATCACATGATCCACTTTCCAGATGACACGTACATTAGCACACTAGCGCTGGTAACCAAATTATGCTTTCATTAGTTCTCACGAACTTTTTTCCTTCTTTTTCTAGTCTTTCCCCACGTTTTCTCCTTTTTCTACTACACAAGAATTATTCATGGTTGTTTCGTTTTTCCAAATTTGAGCTTTGTATTTAAGTTCCAAGAAAAAATATTGGCAGAAAAAAACATCACGTCATGCTGCACCATGTGCAAAAATAGAAATACTAATTCGAGGAATAAAATCTGTTTTTATAACATAGACTCACCTCTGGATCTTCCATCTCGGGCTCAATTGGCTCTCCAGTCAGACGATCGAAGCCTGGAAAGCGAGGAAATTTGAAGATGAAGATGGAAGTTAATGATTGATCATTCTTTTGCACTTGATAGGAAATCAGAAAAACTTTCGGAGAACAATTTTCTCGGTGAAAGATTTTTATTCGATTAGTGAAAGTTAGGATTTCCTGTTGTTCTATAAGGTTAAATGTTAATCTTTTTGAAATAGTGATTCATGGATTCAGATTCATTTTTTCTAATTTTCACACTTTTACAGTATTTGTTTCTTTACGGATTCCTTAAAAACCGAACAAAAAACAAAAGTATGAATTAATTCATTATTTTTCTAGGGAACCTTCTTATGGAAACTACCAATTTTGACCAGCTTACCTAATCCGAGTTCAGTGAACATGTTTCCAATATATTTTTTGTTAACAAATAAACAACAGCAAAAAATATGACGTTAGCTTTATTTTTTCTTATGTCTATCCAGAAAAGTGACAAGAATCAAATTGAAAAAACATGCGTATACGAAAGTCTGCAGCTCAGATGGTTCGCATTATATATTGATGCTCTGCAGCTAAGCCTACTTGTTATTCCTACAGAAAACTCATCTGACACCAACCTTTGACAATGCCGGATAACTGATCAGAACTGAGACTGAATACAAAACCCGTCGCAGCGGATTCCATTTGGATTTCAAGAAATGGAGAAAAGAGATATTGAAATGAAAGATGGATCCCAAGGAAGAATTAGGTTAGATTATCCATCTTGGAGGATTTGTGCGTGTAATCCGGCCAACTAATTTTAGAAAATGTTAGGATCAAATTCGGTAACTAATTTTCTACGTCACAAAACACACGTACAGCGCCGGTCAATAAGATATAGAAATACTTTTTTCAGTTGGTTTTTGACCATTTTCAGAAGTCTGGAGATCGGTTGTCAAGTTTCCGCTCACTTTGAAAGTTTTCAAGGGTCCAAAACAAACCTAGAGTGAAAACTGTTCATTTAAAAAATTCTTGCAAATTCCCAGTTTTTCAGCTATTTGCTAATTTCTAAAATTCACGTTTTCACGTTTTTGGTAGAAAAATGGGCCGAAAAGGGATGTCTTTTAGGGATCAAAAAATAGCTCGAACACTTTTTTCAAAAATTTCAAAGTGATCGGAAACTTGACAGCGAAGCTCCAGACTCTTGAAAAAGGCCTTAACAACCGAGAATCAACTGAAAAATACGGTGTTGTTTATATTTTTACCGATACTGACTGCAGTGGCAAATTTCCCCACCAAACTCACTATTCTCCGTGCTCATCGTTTTTGAAATCATCCAAAGCTTGGTAGTCATTTTAGCAGAAACAAGAATGAAAGACTAACAGTGAAACCACTGAAAAGACAACAATGGCGTCAAAACAATAATAAATCGGTTGCCTTAGCGCTTCCTCTTTTTTTTCAATTTCAAACGTCTCAGTATCATGTTTATTTGCTAATTTGACCTCTGTTTTGTTTTAAATAGGATGCAAAATAAGACGAGTGGTCCCATGAAGGGCTCTCAGACAAAAAGGGCCAGTAGTCAAAACAAAATGAAAAAAAGGGGAAATGCGTTTTTGAAAGTTGTTAAGTTTTGATGTCACGTTTTATGAATACACTTGCACCTACACCCATGTTATCTTATATAAAATTTTTATGGGTTGGAAAAAAGCAAATAAAGTGACAGAAAGCAAAAATTTCTAGTCTAATTGACTGATACACACCTGACATTTTTGGCAAATGATTTTCAAAGGAATAGGAAAATAATTATTTGATTTCAAATACTTATAGGACTATCCAAAAGCCACGTTTTATACAGGGTAATGTGAGCAAAAATTGGGACTTGAAGCATTCAGAAAACTGGATTTTTTGAGAATTCACAAAAGTCAAGTTTCAGGTTTCCGAAGCTACCGTAAAAACTCTATTAGATAGCCACCCCTAATTGAATGCCAGCCTCTAATATAGTGCCATCCTAGAGCACCTCCAAACAATAGAGTGCCAGCCACTAATATAACGGCACTGCGGATTTGATACCACTGTAGTAAAAGATGAAGAATAACACAAAAATTGTTTTCTGGTTTTCTAGCCTTTTTCAAGCTTAAAAGAGGTACTGGATTTATCAAAAATGTTTCAGTATAATATCAGACTCCGAAAGTCTTAAAAAATAGAAAAATAAGGAAAACCCCGAAAGTCATAAAAGAATTGAAAATTGAGTCTTTTTGTGATGAGTTTCAGTAGAACTTGGCTCCAAACAATAAAGTGCCAGCCTCTAATTAAATGCCACCCCCTAATACAGTGCCACCCCAGACCACCCTTGAACAATAGAGTGCCATGGCTATCTAATAGAGTTTTTACAATATATTAGTTTTCATATAAGCATGAGCATTTTCAAACATAATTTTTCAGTGATCTGGCATTATAAAAATCAACAAAAAAAATAGTCAAAGCGGGACTCCGACCAAAGCTTTTTATTGCAGTAAAATTTGTAAAAACATGTATATTTACATAAAAATCAGGAAAAAAAATCCAAAAAATTATTACATTCAATTCCTCCAAAATTTCTCCAAAAAGCGAAAAAATCTACATTCTGGTCCAATTCCAAAAAGTTCTAGCAGGTTCTATTTTTTTAACTCCCGCGGAAACTAACAGTTTCAGACCACCTTTAGAAGACTGTCAGGAACGCTAAACGGAGTTTTCAGTTTTGGCGGCAGTTCGAAAAAAACCGGAACTTTCTGAAAGTTCCCATTCTTTTCTACACACTTTGATGCAATAAATTTTTTGGTTTGAGTCTCCCTTTATAAACAAAAAAATAAAGTTGCAGGAAAAAAACCTTCGGAAAAAATATCAGAAAAATTTGGATGGAGTTCTTCTAACCATGCAAACAATGTTCTACCACAACAACGGAATTAATTTGCGCTATATAGAATATGTCCGATAACAAACACCTGTCAACAGTAATAAACCAATTACATCAGACTGCTACCATAATTTGGATACCATAAATAGAGATTTACTGGTGCTACTTTGTCTTTGGAGTACTTACGTCTCTCTGGCGGTGGGCAGAACCGAGGTGGTGGGATCCCCTTTTTAGATCCAAACATAGCGTGTGAACAAGACAACGATCTCGGTCGAATGGCAATATTCTGGAATAAATTTCTTCAATATAATACCAAAACTTTTGAAAATAAGACAATTATCATTATGTACTTTAAAAACCATCAAGCATCAGTTTACTCCAGAACTGGTGTCTTTCATTCTACGTATACCTACGGCACCGTCTTATGATTTTGTACTTTTAACTAGAATTGTCATTGTTTTCAAAAAAAACAGAACTGAAGACAAAGTACTATGAATCCTAATTTTTTGAAAATTAATGTATTGAAATTCTTCGCTGTAATGAACATGTGGATGTTCTTCTAAAAATTATCATGAAAATCACGCAGAAAATCAACAATTGAAAATGATAAAATAGAAATTATTGGAAAAACGAAAAGCAGAAATATTCTTCTTGGTTTTCACTGTTCTAGAAAAAACGAAATAGAACAGTGTATGAGAAACATGAAATAGTAAGAATCCATCATCAAAACCGATTCCAATTTTTTTTCATCATAAAACGGAAAAGAAACGCACGAGATCGTCACATTTTTGAGAGGAACAAAACGATCACTTCGCAATATATTCTTTTTTATGATGAAATTGAAGAAGCAAAAAAAAATTTAATAACGCTTGAGAACTGTGAGAAAATCAAAACTAACGACGTCATTTTTGGAAGGGTTTTGCAAACACATAAATCTGTGAAACGTTTCAATAAGAGGGGGATGAATTAGTCTTTTAAAATAAATTTACTCACCATTTTTGTAGTTGTTGGTTGAAAAAAAAATACACGGAGAATTAAATGTTGCAAGTCTGAAAAGAAAAATCTTGTGAGTGTTGCTAGACAAAACGTCGAAAAATTTTAGAATGGAGACGTGGATGTTGAAGGTTTGTGACAGGTAGCCAAGGTTCCAGAGCACTTCAGAAAAAATCACTTTGGGAAAAAATAAAACTTAAAAAACTGAAAAAAAAAACAATTCATGCTATACCAAATCAGAAAAGTGTTGTTACCTGAAACATGAACACTCAGGCCTGAATTCGAAAATAGTCAGGACTTGAAAAATGAAGTCGGGTCGGAAATTTTCAGGCCCAAGCTCACTGGAACCTTGTTTTTCACATTTGAAAAAACTTCTGAAATTCCAGATATTTTTCCGAATTATTTTGTAAACAATTTTTTTAACAACACTCTGTTTGTTGAAAACTTTTTATTTTGCAAAATTTTTGTTATTATTTTTCATTGACCTCAAAAAAATGTTGAAAAAAATGAGAATTAAAAAACACTAAAAAATGGACCCGAATAGGTCGGGCTGGGCTGAGAAAATTCTGAAAAAAAAAATCAAAATTTTAGGGAATTGGACTCATTTTTTCCAATAATCATATGCACTGTTTGATTACCTCAAATCATTTTTATCTTGTAATGAAAATTTTTCAAATTCCACTACCGTTTTCGCAATCAAAATTTTCAGAACTTTTTCCTTTTTTCTGTCCACCATTACTATGGATACTGGTTTCATTTTCTCTTCCCACCCTTCCTTCCTACAAGTGCACCAAGATTTGGAAGGAGCCACAAGTGGTCGTAAAGAAGAAAGAAGCAGAAGAGTCTCAATTTCTTCTAATGGATAACAAACAGTTAGTTGATGATGGGGTGTGAAAATCCCTCCTCCCTTCATCTAAACTCGTGATGACACTTCTCAAATATCAGAGCCTCTTCCGGAAAACTTTTCTCAAATTAGTGATCCCATTAAACTTCAATGCAATCTGCCCAAATTACTACTTCCATTCCTCTTCTACCAAATGAGACGGTATTACCTACTCAGCCACAAAATGTAGAGTTCAAAAATTCGCTGTCGTCACGGATTAACTTATTCGAGGGCTTCGATCAGTCATTTTCTGAACTTGCTAATCCGTATCAACCGGCTATGCCGTTGATGCAGCGGGATACTCTTTTGGGTGCAAATTCATACTACAGTAAGTCATAGTTTCTAGTCTGTTAATATGAACGCTTGTTTTCCGATTCAACTGCCCATAACCCAAGAACATATGATCAAAGTCATGGACATGGTGCTAATAATGAAACTATCCATTTGAGATCTCAACAACAAAAAAGGAAACCCAGAGTACTGTTCACCCAGAACCAGGTTAAAAAAGGATTTTGAGATTTTTTCAAAAGAGGACGCCTATATGGCTTTTTAGGTCAACGAATTGGAAGAACGATTCAAAAAGCAACGCTATGTCACGGCGACTGAACGCGAAGAATTGGCTCAGTGTCTCGGTCTGACTGCCACACAGGTTTGCTAAATTTCTGCAAACTTTTTTTCGAATCTTTACTTTCAAGGTCAAAATCTGGTTCCAAAATCGTCGTTACAAATGCAAACGGCTTGCTCAGGATCGAACATTGCAATTGACTCAGATTCCATTCAATCCTGTAAATAGTTGGGATACAGTAGCTGTCAATAAGATATTCAAAAACGTATTTTTCTGTTTTTTTTCCCATTTTGACCATTTCCAAGAGTCTGGAGCTGGCTGTCCAGTGTCGGATCAATTTGAAATTTTTGGAGGGTGTAACACAGACCGAGATTGAAAGCTATGCATTCACAGAATTTTCGGAGGATTTCTAGTTTTTTTCGGTTTATGAAAGACACCTCTAGTTTTTGTACTGAAAAAAAAAGAAAACTGTGCCTATTAAAAATCGATGAATAGCTGAAAAGTTATGTTTTCTAAAAATTCTGTGAATTAAAAGTTTTCAATCGGGATCTGTTTCATTCTTTCAAAAATAATCAAAGTGATCCGAAACTTGACAGCCGAGCTTCAGACTTCTGAAAATGTCAAAATGGCTGAAAAATACATTTTTGTATATTATTGATGTCTATTTCCAATGCGCGTTGCGGCCGAAAATCGATTATTATATTATTTATGGGCCCATAATTGGCTGTTTTTATAATGCGATTTTTAATAAAATTTCGGCCGCAATGTGCGTTGAAAATAGACAATAGCAACATATTTTTGACCAGTACTGTAATTGAGCTATGTTTGATTGTAGTAGAACAACGTCCAGATAAATTAACCCAAAGATCACAAGCTAATTTTTAGAATACTGCTGTTACAGAGCCAAAAATTGTAGTAAACCGCAGTGAATATTAGTGACATTTAAAGGGGGGCTCCGACCAAAAATTTTTATTGCCTTAAAATGTTTCAAAAAATATGTATTTCTATAATATTATTGCGAAAAAATTCAAAGAAAATCCTAAATCCCCGAAAAACGGCGTTGAATAATAATAGGATTTGAATTCCCGCTCAGTGAGAAACCTAGGCCACGGCATCAGCGCCTTTCTGAAATGGAAATTTTTTTTTCCGGATTTTTTTCGGTTTTCTTGTCCGGCAGAAAGAAAACGTAAAAACCACTGTCGGCCACTTGAAAAAACGGCTATCAGGCTCCGTGGCCGAGGTTTCTCACTGCGCGGAAATTCAAATCCTCGTCCCTCCTAGCAACTTTTTTTGAAATTTTTTCGCTTTTAACGGCATTTTTCGGGGATTTCGGATTTTTTTCGAATTTTCTCGTGATAATATTGGGAAAATAGACAACGTTGCGAACATTTTAATGCAATAAAAATTTTTGGTCGGAGTTCTCCTTTAACAAACAATACTTTTAATAGGGATGTTGTTGATTTAACACGTTCTACTCCAATTATCACATGAATTATATAAACACTGTATAATTTTCTTTAACTGGTAAGATTCTTCTTATTTTCAGATGTTTGCTTCAGCGTTTCCATTTGGCATCAACAGTTTCGGAAGTGTCCCTTCATCCAGTTCTTAATTTATTCAAAAATATGCTTTCTATCTCTCAAACTTGACTCTCAAACAATCCGAATGAGGATGTTTTATTTGAGTATTTATGTCAGCTTTGGTGAGATAGAATAAGAGATTTAGTCTAAAGAAACTATAGTTAGTCTCCTTCATTTCTACTGTTAATCAGAATTCATAAATTGTTCCCTTTTTTAATGTATTGTTAATGATATTCGTTACCTCTCCTAATTATACGGTCTCTCTCTCTCTCTCTCTCTCTCTCTCTCTCTCTCTCTCTCTCTCTCTCTCTCTCTCTCTCTCTCTCTCTCTCAGAATAAATCTATCTAAAGTCAGAATAAATCTATCTAAAGAAAATTCTTTTTCTTTATAATTTATTTGAATGCGAATCATACCACTAAACCAATAAAAATAGTTATCGCCAGTTCTTCTGATTTTCATTCTTCGCTTTTCTTATTCTTCTAAATTTTTAAGTCAAAAGTTTTCAATATTCATAAAACTTTATCACAAGACCTGTCTACCGGCCCTCAACCCTTTGTACCTCATGTCCGACTTCTTTTTTTTGTTCTTGTAACATTTTATGACTTGTTGAAGTACACTTGAACTTCGCTGAACGTTTTTGTTCTGGTGATCATGGACGAATTAGCGTTAACCTACTCACCACAAGGGCAAAATGCGCGGAAAAAAGTTTTAATGGGTTAGGTTGACCCTCATAAGTTTAAGTGATGTGTTTTTTAAACTAGAAATAAAATGTGGGGATGTATCTGAAATCTTGTTGAGTCTTGGAAATTAAAAAATCTGCACTTTCAGTTTTTGAGTGGATTTTCAGTTATCTTGTATTCGTTATCTTCCCGTTTGCTAGATTAAATCTTCATTTCTCAAGTCAAGTTTAATAAAAATAGAAACCCATGCTGTAATGTTAGAATTTTCTCGCTGATGTGAGCTCCGCAATTTTTCAGCACATTTTTATATTTTTAAATTTTTTCCAGTTGAAAAAAGCCAAGATTTATTTTTCCTATTATTTTTTACTACTTTTTTTCTTTGCCCAACTGTATTTGTGTTATGAAAGCGTCAAAAAATAGGCGGGGGAACCGACAACAGGAGGAGTACCGGGCAGACATACGCAAATAAAGATGAATTTAGGATGTTTTGTTCTCAAACATAGCTAACATTTGCAAACAGCAGTATCAGGAGTTTTCTAAACACTAGAAAAGTAGATTTTGTAGTTTCGAAGTTTTATTCTTGGTGAAGTCATCAATTGTCCCCTCCCAGTCCCCGCCTAGTTCTTATCGTGTCTGTAACTCCACATGCCCCACCCAGATGACATATTGAATTTGAAATAACCCCGACTTTATGTTTTTGTTCCGGCTGTGTTCTTTTTGGCTTTTAATCATTTCGAATGATCACACGCATTTTTATCTGAAAAAGATTTTATGTTTCAATTGCATTTTTATGTATTGTTTCGTGCACAAAATGTTAATTATCAGATATTTTACCTATTCGAAAAGCGAATTTATAAACTGGATTCACCTCGTTCATATTCCATAATAAATACCACAAAACCTCTGATTGAAGCCCACTCAACATTGAGCAATTATCTTGATTCCTGCAAAAGACATTGAAAAGTTATCAATTTACAAGTTACTTACTATCATACCCCCATGATTTCATCAGTTGACAGATTTTTGACATCTCTCATAGGAACCGAGACAATTGAGCTCAAAGTTGACTCATGGATCGTTTAAATTTGAAAATTTTATTAGTAAAATTTTTCTAGATGATACAAACGATACCATGGGGAGCAGTAGTCATATCCGGATGCATGATTGTTTATGTAATATTTCTTGGATTCGCTAGCTATTCTCCCAGCTTTGAAAACAAAAACTTCTATGGAGAGTACCCAGCGATTGCTGGAAACCTTCCTAGTATCTACAGAGGGATGCGAAGTGATGATTCTAATCTCAATTCTTCTATTTCAACAGTTTCTTATGATCCATGGGATCTGTGTGATCTTCCGAAATATGACGTCTGGGATGAAGAGATCATACTTGTAAGTTTTTTTTCTGTAAATTTTTTGTTCTTAAATTGCGTTTTTTTCATTTACAGTACGTAAATCCAAATAAAGATCCACTGAAGGATTGTGACAGGACGTTCAAACCATTCACAGAGCTCAAGAATTCATCGTGGAGAGTAGTTAGCCTTAATAAAAACTTGGAGTGTAAGACGAGGTGAGTTTTTAGAAAAATTATAGAGTACATAATAAGAAGATGTACAAAAACTGCAATTGGTAATTTCTGCCATTTTCGAAAATCTAGAGCTCGGTTGTCGAGTTTCCAATAATTTTGTAATTTTTTGAGGTTGTAAAACAGACCTAGAATGAAACCTTTGCATTTGCAGAATTTTTAGAAAATTACTAGGTTTTCAGATATTTGTCGATTTTTGAAAGACACCCCTACACGGCCCGTTTTTGTACTGAAAACGTGAAGAAACAGGTGTCTTCCCGACAATGGCAAATGACAGAATAATTAGGAATTTCAAAGATTCTGTGATTGCAAAGTTTTTGATCTAGGTCTGTTTTCAAAGTGATTGGAAACTTGACAGCCGAGCTCCAGACTCTTTAAAATGACCGAGAATCAACTGAAAAATACATTTCTGTATTTATTGACTTGTACGAATCTCTTTTGACATGAAAAAATCGATAGTGAAAATTTTCTCCAGATGTCACAGGAGGAAAAGTGAGCGACAAAACGAAATCAGCAAGTGGAACTTCACTCAAGGTCCCGTGGACTGTGAATTCTTGGAAGCTGTTTGTTCAGAAAATAAAGAAGATGTATATGGATATTTGCATTCTCAAGTGATTCCAAAGTGAGTTTTGATCGTTTTGTTGAATGTTCAGAACTTTACGATGACGTTGAATGAGATTAGTAGTTTAGGCCTCCGATCGAAAAACCAAAAATTGACACGGCTGGTTTGATGCAATTTGATGTTTTTGTGATCTTGCTAGATTCGTTGTCCTATTCACAAGGAAAAAGGTAAGGGGTTTGGAAATAAACATCCACTAATAGATTTTGATACAGGTCCCTTCCAAGAACCCTATCATATTTCACTAATCACATGGACGGTGTCATATTTCCATACATGAACAAAATTGGGGAGAACAGCCGGCCAAATGGTATTCCTATTTGGTTTGGTGGGTGTTGCATATTTTTTGAAATCAAATTTCCTTATTTCAGGCAAGTCATTAGAAAAAATCGATAGGAGTCTGTTTGATGAAGAAGTTATCCCTCCGGATTGGTCTCATAAGTATTTCTGCAAAACGTTCAAGGATAATGAGACAAATATCTTCAGCGAGTTCCATGATTATGGATATAGGGTAAGAGAGCTATTCTGAGTTCCCAAAAATTCTGTTTTTTCCAGACACTTCTCGCTGAAGATTGGGCTGAGGGTACAATGAATTGGCCAAACTGTGTGGGCTTTGATAAACCACCAATCGACCATTTTATGAGGTAACCAAAATAATATATTTATTTTTTTGGAACCAAATCCTGCAGACCATTCCAAAATGCATATGAACGCAAAGGCCAAGGTGCGCCAATCACACAAAAACATTTGAAAGGAGGCAAACTGTGTAGGCAAACACACAACACACTATTGGATTATATGGGACAATTTATAAATGCATATCCAGGTAGGACTGTTTATTATTCAGCATCAAAAAATAAATACTAATAAATACTGTTTGCTTTCAGACCAAAAAAAATTTGGCTGGGTTTGGGCTATTGATCTCGGACATAATTCAGAGAATGGTTTCACACATGCTGACAAGGACTTTCATAACTTTTTGATAGAACACAGAAAGAAGGTATCCTTCAGAAAAATATATCACAAACAGAAACAACTACTTCCAGCTAGACAACTCATTTGTATTTCTCCTCGGAGACCACGGGCTAAGATTTGGAGGAGTACGAAACACTTTTGTGGGAGCACTGGATGTTAATAACCCATTTACCGCAATTTCAATACCCAAAGTTTTGAGAAACACTACAAATATCCTAGAGTATGTAGCAGAAAATGCAAAGAATATTCAAAGTCATTATGATACAAGAGCAACTATTTTGGATATTATGAAGGTATGTTGATCTGTCTATACATATTATACATAGTCCCTACCAGTGAAAATTCGCGGCTACGCCGCGATTTCCACTGGCTTCAGTTTAAATTCAAAAAGTTCCAATTATCATTTTATTTTTTGAAAATTTATTAGTAGAACAATTGATTAGAAGAACAATTCTAAAACCATCAAAAAGGGAAAATTCAGATCAACAGTTTAATTCCTAGAAAAGGATAGTTATGAAAAATGGCTATGGGTTGAAAAATTTAAGCTAGAAATGGAGCTACAGGATTTTTATGTAAACAATGTTATGCATTACTTTTTCTGGAGCCCAAACTCTGATTCCATCCTTAGTTCTTGTTCTTGTCAATGCAACATATAGCTGTCCATGAGCAAAAATCGGAGCGTCCAGAAGCAGTCCGATACGATCGAATGTTTGGCCTTGAGCCTTATTGACGGTCATAGCAAAGGCAGGTCTTACTGGGAACTGACGTCTTTGGAGCACGAATGGAATCCCCGAATTGAATGATAGTTTGATTCTTGGAATCAAAACGTCTCCACCTTCATTTGGTCCCGAAATAAAAGCGCATCTGAGAACCCGCTCTCCCATTTCTCGAACAACAATCGTGTACCATTGCACAGTCCGTTTCGAACTTCAAGGTTTCGGAGGAGCATGACCAATGCACCAACTTTCAGCTCCAATTTGTGTGGTGGTAATCCTGATGGAGTCATTTTATTCAAAAATTCTGTTGGAAAGTTGGCAGCATCAGAGTGACTATTTTGGTTGTCTCCGACCTCATCAACACTGAAATACGTCTTCATCTCTCCTAGAACCATTTCCATCACTTTTTGATTCATTTGAAGTGCTTGTTGGTTGGTTGGAGAGAGAATGGCCACTTTGGAGATTTCAGAAACATTAGACCCGTTTCGAAGTAAAGATCCAAAGATTTCCTCGGCCAAATCTCCATCGCATCTGAGATCTTCTGGAACTTCCATGACTCCGGTCCCCTCTTCTCCTTTCAGACCATCGCCAACCCCATGAAGGAAACTGAAAAAATCAGATTGAAAATTATAAATTAAATATCTAATTTTTTACCTTTTCCATTCTTCATCAGCATTTTGGGCACGCATGTTGGTCTTCAAATGGTAGACTTGTAAAAGTGGCCAAAGATGAGATCTTTTGATGGAAATTTGCTCATCTCTTCCTTTTCTCTTCCATGAGGCAATAGAGATGCAGCGATCCCAATCCACGCAATTGGGATGATTTTCAGATGCATACCTTGGAGGATGTTGATGAGAGTAAGGTATACATATGTTTTGCCGCTTCCTCCTGGTCCATCCACGTAAATAAGACCTCCTCCACTTTTCACAGCATCCAAAACTGCCTTCACAACTTCTTCTTGTTCTGCTACCAACGTTGATCTCATCCTATCTCCTTCTTTTGAGCAGTAATCAAAATCAATGACGTTGTCTGGAATGATTCTCTCGTATCCAAGGCTCATCCATTTATCCAGCTTTTCTCTCATAGCATTCATTCTATCAATAAGATCATTATAAGCAAGAGCTTCGGCTTTTTCTTTTGGGAAGTGCTTGTATAAAAAGTCTTCTGAGAAGTCATCCACAAATCTGAAAAATGTTGATTTTCAAAATAGAAATTTTTTTAAATTTCTCACCTGTACCATAACTCTTCAGCATTATGAATTTCCCCAAACATCAGCAGAGTCACGAAGAATCTTTTCAGTTGTGGTGCAGAATGAAATGACGCTGCTTCTTCCAACGACTTTTCATAGAAAATGTCCTCAGTCAAGTATCCGGCAGCTTTAGCAGCATCCACAAATTTCTCATAAAAGACACCTCCAACGGTTTGTAAATCTTCATAAGATTTGGCATCAGTTACGTTTAGGAACATGACTCTCAATGCGAATCTTTCCTGATCTCTCGGAGACACGAAATGCATTCTTCCGATCGATCGTGTAGCATTTTTTCTAAGAGTCCATTTTCCTTTGGTGAATTGGAAATGTTCTGGCATCTCAACATAATAGATACCTCGGCAGTCCACAACGTCTTCTGGAATCATTCCAGTCGATTCAAGCTCATCATATCATCTTTTGTTTGCAGCAAACCACGCTGTTAATGTTGTTTCTCGGAGCTGTCCTTTCTCTGCTGCATCTTTTTCTTCTCCTTCTTTATAAACGACTCCTTGGGCATTCTTCAGATGCTCTTTGAGCTGCATAACTGGGGTGCTTCTGTCGGACATTCGGAAGTCGAAGATGCCAAAGAGACTCTGGAGCACAGACGTATCGACCATCCAAGTAGCTGTTGTGCTCGACTCCATTTTTATCAGTGTAGATGCGGATAGCAGCTCGATATGTACCTTTGTAAAGATATTTGTAAAGTGTTAACTGCTCCGACGTTCCCACAAATTTCCAAATTCGCATGACTTCTGAACTTTCTGGAGAGGTACTTGTTGTATGGGACCACACTTCTATTGTCCAGTTTAACAACTCCAGAATTTTTCGTTTGTCTAGAAATGTCTAGAAAGCTCTGGAATTTTCTAGAATTTTCTGGAATTTTCTAGAATGTTCTGGAATTTTCGAGAAAGTTCTGGAATTTTCTAGAATGTTCTGGAATTTTCGAGAATGTTCTGGAACTTGCGAGAATTTTCTGGAATTTTCGAGAAAGTTCTGGAATTTTCTAGAATTTTCTGGAATTTTCTAGAATGTTCTGGAATTTTCGAGAAAGTTCTGGAATTTTCGAGATTGTTCTGGAATTTGCGAGAATTTTCTGTAATTTTCGAGAATGTTTTGGAATTTTCTAGAATGTTCTGGAATTTTCTAGAATGTTCTGGAATTTTCGAGATTGTTCTGGAATTTTCGAGAAAGTTCTGGAATTTTCGAGATTGTTCTGGAATTTGCGAGAATTTTCTGTAATTTTCGAGAATGTTTTGGAATTTTCTAGAATGTTCTGGAATTTTCTAGAATGTTCTGGAATTTTCGAGAAAGTTCTGGAATTTTCGAGATTGTTCTGGAATTTGCGAGAATTTTCTGTAATTTTCGAGAATGTTTTGGAATTTTCTAGAATGTTCTGGAATTTTCTAGAATGTTCTGGAATTTTCTAGAATGTTCTGGAATTTTCTAGAATTTTCTGGAATGATGTAGAGCTTTCGAGAGTATTATAAACTGTCCTGTAATTTTCAAGAATGTTTTGCAGTCGAAAAAAAAACACGGCAACCAAATTTACAGTAAATCACAGAATTTGAGTTAATCACGAAAAAAATGTTACAAAAAATTTTTGTTGCGAATCTTTCAGCTCAATTTTTTGTGGGCAGCACATAGATAGGCCTGAAAACCGTTTTTGAGAATTCCCTGAAGTTTTAGTGAGTTTCAACATAATTTTGAAATTTTCGATTCTCAACCCTATAGGTTCCCGATTAGCTAGAAGGCCCAGGACACCATAGACATGAAGCGCTCGGTAGTCCATGGCTACATACCACACACCATTATAGGAGTCCCATGCCCTTTGGAGTTATTCAAGTAAATGTCCGAGACGGACACACACACACACACACACACACACACACACACACACACACACACACACACACACACACACACACACACACACACACACACAGAAAAGTTTCCTTAGTAAGAAGTAGATTATATTTATACATTTATACATAGTCGCGGTCAATAAGATACACAAAAATGTATTTCGCAGTTGATTCTGGGCCATTTTGACCATTTTCAGGAGTCTGGAGCCCAGCTGTCCAGTTTCCGATGACGTTGAAATATTTCAAGAGTGGAAAACAGACATAGATTGAAAACTTTGCATTCACAGATTTGTTTGCAATTTCTTAGTTTTCAAATATCTTCTGATTTCTAAAAGTTACCTCTTTTCACGTTTTCAATACAAAAACGGGTTATTCAGAAATCGGAAAATATCTGAAAAACTTGGAATTCAAAATAATTTCTGTGAATGCAAAGTTTTCAATCTAGGGCAATCTAGGTTTTCTAGGTCCAATCTAGGTCTCCATCCAAAATTTTCAAAGTGATCTTGATATGTTGAGGAGCTCTAGACTCCTGAAAATGGTCAAAATGAGCGGAAACCAACTGTTTTTCTATATTTATATTGATCGGTACTAGTGTGGTTTTTTTCATTCGTTTCTAGCTGTTTTTAAAAAATTAGAGCTTGGTGGGCCTAAATTTTTCATATTAGGAAAAAACAGAAATTCCAGATTCTTTATCGAAATTTTAAAACCTTTCTCGAAAAAAGTTTGTTTTTAACGAAAATCCGTTACATACTTGCAAATGTTCTGTGTGGCAAAAGTTTTTCATATTTTCAAATTGACTTCTTAGTTTTTTTTTTTGATAATTCAGGTAAAATATTACTGGAAACCCGGCATGAAACGACCAGAAAAAAACACTAAAAATGCTCGGCCCGGCTCACTGCAATTATGATATACACTATTTGAATACGCCTTTAAAATACTTATTTCTGAAACCGCAGACAGCATTATTGATAACAATCACAATCTATCAGCCCAAGAGTTTGTAGTTTAGATGCACCAAATCATTCACACAGACATTTCGGACTTTTCTATATTGCACATTTTTCAAACAATTAAAATAATAAGATCATTTTCAGTACCAATCGGCAAAAAGCTTCACGGAGACCGAAGCTCGTCAATTTCCTGAAGAGAAAGGATATTCATATATTCGAAAACAACCGTCAACGCCTCGAAACTGTCGAAATATGCCGATCCCTCTAGAATACTGTATATGTCAATTTAAGAAGTCTAAAGTTCCGCGGTAAGCTTCTTTTCTCACAATGACATTTTTACATTTATTGTTATCAGCAATACGAAAACAGCCAAGGAGATAGGCAAGGCATTAGCGTTTGCGGTTAACACCCAAATTGAAGATGGAAACTTTACTGGTAATTGTATCAAAATGGAATGGGAGAAGGTAAATATTATCAGGAGCAAGTTGGTGCATTAAATATTCTTCTTTTTCAGACACTGTCTTTAGAAATGTATGATCATCAGTTTAAAGGAGCCACTTTGTATACGGTTACAGCACAAATGAAAGAACCGAGCAAGGCCGAATTCAAGGTATAAATTAAGTTATACAGTTTGATAAGGAATTTCGTATTTTCTTCAGAGCAATGTTAAAATTGTGGACGGAAAAATCAAAGTGTTGGGTATGGTGGAACGGAGTAACAGATATGGCAAGACTGCTGATTGCATAAAGTCGGAGTACCATCGACCGTATTGTTATTGTAAAAATCAGAATGGTTAAAAATGAGAATTCCAATTCTGAAATAAGGACAAAAAACGTGTACACCTATTCGGCAATTTTTAGGCGAAATGGTCAAATTTGCTTTATAATTATTATTTGTTGATTATGTAAACGGGCTTTAAATGAATAATTTCTTATAGTTTTGATAAATTGAAAAGAAAACTATCGGGACAGTGATTTTTAGAGTTCGAAAAGTACAGTACCAGCTCAAACACTATTCATGAGAAAATAGGAAAGAACAACTTTTGTGACCAAGTACATAGACGTGTAAAATATTTGAGTAGATGTTCACCACTTCTATTGGTTCTTTCGTAGTATCTTCAGTAATTAATTTCCTGTTTTTATAGTAAATGATTGATGAAGAACAGAGAAAAACGTTTTGTGTTCTTCCAAAGCCAGTGACGCTTCTCACAATGGCTGATAGCTACCTCTCTTGGGTTTCTCTCTCCCACGCAATAGCGATTTTTGGATTTCTCTCCTCCATAATTGCTGGCTCCATTTTAATATCTCTCAACTTATTTTATGTTAAGAAAGTTTTCGGGAGTTATAAGTATTTGGTGATAATTTTCACATGCTTGGGAATGGTTTTTGCTACATTGGAAGTAGTTTTCTTTCCGGTACGGTAGCTTGAAACTGAAGTCATTCTCTCCAGTTTCTTTTCCAGAATATGCATTCTTTCAATTCTGCTACCCTGTATTTTACATTGAGTCCACTATTTGGGTTGAGCACTAATATGCTGTCCGCTTCCCTCGGTTTGTTTTTTCGTAATTCTACAAGGTCTGGAAAGATTCAATTAAGTTATTTACACGGGATTCTATTCTGCTACAATTTGCCTGATTGCAATACAATTTATGTACAGATATTGGGCAGTTTTTGAGTAAGAAATGATAGAATTCTGATAAAACTACTAGTTGTTTTTAGTGAAAACAAACTAATATTTTTCGAAGGATGGAGAAGTTTAACTTGGGTTGCTTATGTTCTATACTTTGGAGCACAATGGGCAATTGGAGCTTATAACTTTGTCAAAACTGATGAAGTTGCGAAAAACTATTTTCGGGAAGAGATGATTTTACGTTACAATGTCTGTGTTGACAATCTATCATCTCTGGCAATGGTTGCATTCGATCCTTCTAGTGGTGACATCCGATGGTGGAACCTGATGACGGTTGTGAATATGTCTTTTATAATGGCTATTCAGTATGCAATAATGATCCATTGTGGTTACTCAATGTTTACGAAAATGGAGGAAAAACTTCAGAATTTCTCTACAATGCACAAAAATCATCACAAACAACTCTTCAAAACTTTAATGCTTCAGGTTAGATTGACATGTGTCTATTTCTGTGATTTTTCTAATCCATTTTCGTTTCAGATAACAGTGCCTTCAATATTCCTATTCATACCTCTCTCCTTCATTATTTATATTCCATTACTTGAAATACAGTTGAGCCTACCAACCGGTGTTCTATTATCAGGCTTCAGCTTATACCCAGCTGCAGATTCAATCATGGTCATGTACATTGTAGCTGAATACAGGAACACGCTTAAAAGTCGTTGTTTTAAAGTCAAAATAACAATGATCGGAATATTTTACAGAAATACTGAACACCTTGCGGAAATCCGTGTGCTTATGCAAAGCTAACCGCGTTGAACAACACGGAAACCAGACGACAGGAACGTTTTGAAACTATTTTTGAAGTTACTTATAATCAATGAAGCCTGAAAATTAACTCATGAAACGTTTTTCATCGTTCATTCAGATGCTCTTTCATCCATCATAGCTGGTTCAACCAATCAGCCCGTCAACTCAAAAGTTTGCTTATTAGGAACATCGCAACTGCAACGAGCCGTGTTCAGTGAAGTCATGGCTATCGTGCCATTTGCATGTGTAAATTCGGCAAGCGACACAAATCGAGCCACCGTGGCTCAGCCGGAATTGGCGCGGCATCTCCAACAACGGGCCAACTACTCAAGAGGCAAATTCAACTACTCAAGAGGCCTACACGATAAGGATTTCGAGGATTTGTTTTTTATGTCTCCCGACCTTTAAAATTCACAAAATTACAGTACTATGATAATTTGGATGAATTTCGTGGAAAGCTCTGAAAGAACAACTTTTGTGACGAACATAAAGAATCTGAGCGGATGTGTTCCACTTTCATTTGTTTTTCCGTAGTATGCTCAGTAATTAATTTCCTGTTTTTGAAGATAATTCAAGATAAAGAAGACAATTTTCATGTTTTGGTTTTTTAGCCAGTGACGCTTCTCAAAATTACCGATAGTTACCTCTCTTGGGTTTCTCTCTCCCACGCAATTGCGATTTTTGGATTTCTCTCTTCCATCATTGCTGGCTTCATTTTAACATTTCTGAACGTATTTTGCATTGAAAAAGTTTTCGGAAGCTAAAAGGATATGGTAATCATTTTCACATGCGTGGGAATGGTTTTTGCTACATTGGAAGTAAAATATGCATTCTTTAAATTGTGCTACCATATATTTCACGTTGAGTCGACCATTTGGGTTGAGCACAAATATGATGTCCGTCTCCATCGGTTAGTTTTTTTCAGTGGTTTACTAGGGTTTATATGCTGCTACAATTTGCCTTATCGCTATACAATTCGTGTATCGATATTGGGCAGTTTTCGAGTAAGAACAAACAGAACTTGGATAAAAAACTATTAATTACTGTTTTCAGCGAAAATAAGCTGGAATTTTTCGAAGGATGGAGAAGTTTAATTTGGGTTGCTTATGTTCTATACTTTGGAGCACAATGGGCAATTGGAGCTTATAACTTTGTCAAAACTGATGAAGTTGCGAAAAACTATTTTCGGGAAGAGATGATTTTACGTTACAATGTCTGTGTTGACAGTCTACCATCTCTGGCATTGGTTGCATTCGATCCTTCTAGTGGTGACGTCCGATGGTGGAACCTGATGACAATTGCGAATATGTATTTTATAATGACAATTCAATTTGTGATAATGATCCATAGTGGTTACTCAATGTTTACGAAAATGGAGGAAAAACTTCAGAATTTCTCTACAATGCACAAAAATCATCACAAACAACTCTTCAAAACTTTAATGCTTCAGGTTAGATCGACATGTGGGTGTTTCTGTGATTTGTCTAATCCACTTTCTTTTCAGATAACAGTACCTTCAATAATTTCAGATAACAGTACCTTCAATATTTGAAATAGAGTTGAGCCTGCCAACTGAGGTTCTTTTATCAGGATTCAGCTTATACCCAGCTGCAGATTCAATCATGGTCATGTACATAGTATCTGAGTACAGGAACAAAATTAAACGTGATTGCGATGGACTTGAAGTAACATTGAACGGAAGATTTTACAGAAATACTGCTCGGTTTGTGGAAATTCGTGTGCTTTTGCAAAACGAATCGCGTGGAACACTCAGGAAACCAGACGACAGGGTCGTTGTGACCTGGATATTGAAGTTATGGAAGTTCATCATTAATTCAGACGGTCGTTCATCCTGTATAGTTGGTATAGGCCAATCAGCCCGTCAACTTGAAAAATTACCTTGTTAGAGGCATTTCACCTGCAATCAGTCTTTTTTTCCAAATAATTCATTCCTTGTTTAGTTTTTTTTCTTCACAAATAAATAAATAAATAATATTCCGAATATATACAACTGGGATGGAATCGCATATGAATTGAGATCATGTGATGGGAACTGGATTATTAGAAGAGAAATCACATCAAAAAAAATAATTGTTGAGAAAATCTTTGGACTGCAAGAGAGATCTTAGATGTTAAATTAAAGGAGAGCAGTTTAGACAAGTCTTCTTCCGTTCTTACAATACATTGGTTGGAGGAATGGTTGAGCAAAACAAATTCTGTGATTACGAATCATTTCCATACGACGCAACTCGTGCTCCTTCATTTCCTCGGTCTTCTCAACCTCCAGAACTTCATCGAAGTCGGATTTCTTGTTGTCCTCAAATTCGTAGATGAACTTTTCCAACTGTTTCTCGAGCAATTCCAGATGGTCCGAGCATTTGATGAGCTGAAAATAGAAAATTATGAGAAAACGCTGCCCAGAACTTGTACAAACCGTGTCGTTCTTCTTACGGGTTTGATCAAGGAACGCGTGAACCTTCTGAACCTCGATTTGCTTGAAGAAGTGCATTTCACAGACACGTCGAGCAAGTTCCCGTAGATGCTCATGATAGTCGATCTCGTTGGAGCAGAGAGAAGCGACGTCTTCCATCAACCGATTTCCAGCCTCTTGAGTAAGCTTTGTGTCAGCGCTGAAAAATTTTATAGATTTGGGATTTGGTCTGCTTGCTGAAACTCACTCTAGCTTCTTTTTTGCCACAATTGGCTGATAGAAATCCAGTGCTTTGATCATTTTGGAGAATGGTGCCTCGCCCGAGGAAATCTTCCGAAGTTTGATTGTGGCGTCTTGCATTGGTTTGCTGGCGCCCTCACCCTCCGTATCCGGATAAGACTCGACCAGTTTCATGCGCATCTCAATCAATTCGTCAGCATGAGCATTGAAAGCAGTCCGTTTGAGCTCAAGTGCTTGGTTGATGTAAAACTGATTTGAGTTGTTAGTGGAGTCTGGCAACTCGGTTGGAATGCTAGCCAAAATCTCATCACACTCGCGATGAGCCTCATCGATAGCCGCCTGAATCAAGTCACGACGTCTGACCATTAGTTTTTCCCATTCGCTATTACTGAAAAATGTTATTAAAGACCCAGTCTCTACGGCCACTCACATTTTGATGATTTCCTGGGCGTTCGTTTTAGACAATTCATGATCCTTCTCATTGTGCTCCATTTTTTCAAGAAGCTCGGTAAGGAGATTCTCAATGTTCACAATCTCAGCAGCATAACTTGAGAGAGAAGCAAAATCAAAGTCGTTGGTTTTCTTGCAAAACGCCTTTACTGCCGGGGTGTTCTCCACTGGTGGTGACCCACATTGCTTTGGGTCTTTTCCCGCTTTTCGGCACTGTAACAGTATAAAGATAGACTGAGATTCCTGAATAACAACTCACTTGCTCATCGAACATTTGTTTTCTGTACATGTGGACCACTTTCTTCATATCTGGCTTCTTGAGAAGCATCTCGAGAGTTTGTCGTGGATATCGAGTACACAAGATGTGATCATTCTTGTCTTTCAGAGCTTCGAATTCATCTTGGAACGTCTTGCAGCTAGTTTTGGTGAAGCGAGACAAAGCAGCTGATTTTGCTTGTCGTGAAGACGACTGTCCAGATGTTTCCATTCTGAAAATTAACCAATAAAAAATAGAAAGATATATAAATAAAATATTAAGAAGATCATCTGAAAAGGAGAGTCAAAAATGAATGAGAGAGGTTAAAGATGAGAGAGACAGGAGCACGCGCAGAAAATCGATAAAGCCGCTCGCGTCCGCTTTGCTACGAATACAAATGGCAGATGTGAGGAAACGAGGGAGAGAAGTCTCAAGGTTTTTGCCCCGTGCACACTCTTTTTCACTCTTCTCTTTTCTCTGTCGTCTCCTCGCTGATAGCTGCGGAGGGAAGAGAGTTAGGAGAGAAAAAAGATGTGAGAAGGAAGGACGTCTGCTAGATTAAATCTCAAGAAAATGGAAAGAATGAACTAACGAGAAAAGTTTAAAAGTAACAGTTTGAAATACAGAATCAAAGATATATAAACGTTCGAAACGTCAAATTCAAAACAGTAAACATACGAGATATTCAATTCCCCAAATAATTTATACAACATTCAATGACATTTTTCTTCCGAAAAAAATATTCTGAAAAAATATAAGAGCTCTTGGAGCACATCTGTGAAATGAGAAAATTTGAAATTATCACATCGTGATTGTTTCTGATGAATCATTTTGAAATGATGAAAATACTGTAGCTTTGGACATTAACGGGTTTGCAAATCAATGGACACGGTTAGATTAGTATCAGATACAAAAACATGGTAAGAAGGAATGGTTAGAAAGGTTAGATGCGGATAGTTCACTCATCGAATTCATCATCTGGAAACATTGGTTTCTGCAAGAGCTCGATGACATCATAAAATCTGAATTCATGCACTCTTCGAAATGAGCAGTGTGAGTTCTGAACTGGCCACAAAGATCTTCCATTTCTGCCATACCCGTCATCGCCTAAATTTTTGTTTTCAACAAGAAACGAACATGAGAAGAAAATAATGGCCTACTCAAACCCTCAACTTTGATCTCGGCTATCTCGACTTCTATAAAAGATATAAAAAATTAGCCAACTGATAAAGTATTTATCACAATGCCAATGTTTTTGCAGTTGACAAATTTTTGATATCTTTCACAGAGATCGAGGTAATTGAGCTTAAAGTTGATGACTCAGGCGGGCTTCTATTAGAGTAAATACGGAATCTTACTAAGTCATCTTTCTTGTTGGTTTTTGAGAGTAGAATGAACACGTTTTGGAGCTCAATACGTTTCTGGAACTCGCAGTCGCATGCACGTCTGGCAAGAACAAGTAGTTTTGTGGTGTAGTTGAGTTGATCGGTTGAGAGGACGGTGATATCTTCTACAAGACGGCTTTGGGCAGTTTCAGGAATTGATGCGTCTCTGAAAAGAAATCAAATTGGTTGGGTGAGTTATAGCACCACTCAAAACTAAATATTTTTTTTTTGAAAATTGGGGGAAAAACGACGATGAATGTTAAAGATAACGTTCCGAGCATAATCATTGCCACTTTTACCAACTTTTGAGCAAATTTTACCTCATTGAAATACAATTCTGTGAATGGTATAATTTTTTAAAGTGCTAACTTGAAACTTTCGGCTTCTCGGCTATTTCTACTATTGTACCGCAATTTTGAGTTGTCAACATTCAGTATTTTTTGTTTTCATGTTCAGTTGCTTGAATCAGGCAATTTGAATCATCAACAATCGAATAGCAACCAATTATACTTTAACATCCCCAGTACCGGTTAATAAGAACGTATTTTTCAGTGGATTTCCTGCCATTTTGACAATTTTCAAGAGTCTGGAGCTCGGTTGTCAAGTTTCGGAAGACTTGAAATTTGGAAAGTATAAAACAGACCTAGATTAAGGACTTAGCGTTCGCAGAAGTTTTTGGAAACTCCTACTTTTTTTTTAGGTATTTTCAGGTTTCTAAAGACACCCCTTTAAAGCCTGTTAGTGTATTGAAAACATGTGTCTTTTGAAAACAGATAGAACGTAGAAAAACTAGGATCTTTCGGAAAACTCTGTAAATGCAAAGTTTTTAATCTAGGTTTGTTTTAGACCCTCCAAAACTGTCAAAGTTATCGGAGACTTGACATTCGAGCTCCAGACTCCTTAAAATGACCAAAATCAACTGAAAAAAAGCGTTTTTGAACATCTTAATGACCGGTACTGTAGCTTGTGTATCCTTTTCAGCTACCGATTCAACTCACTTGCAGGCATGAATCGGCCTCAATGAGAAAAATTGGCCGACGTGTCCGGTCATAACAGTGTATTCCGGCGTAACGCCTAAAGAAGAGAGCTCACGAAGAACTGGAGCTACTGTTGCCTTTGAAGGCTGGAATTCATCAGAAATATCTGCAGAAATGGATCTGATAGTTGAACGGAATGCATGCGCTCTGAAGAACAGCGATTTGAATGCATTCTGCTTTTGAGTCAGCTTTTGGCCAATGACATTTTTCTCTTCTTCTGACACTTGAAGACGTTTGTAGTCTTCCCATTCTCTACTGATTGTATTCATCATTGCATGCGCTGCGTTGTAGCTCTCATCGAATTGATTTTGAAGAGCTTGTCGAATTTCGTGGAACTCCTTTTGTGATTCGATGCTGCTGAAAGAGAAACATTTATGTGAGGCTAGATTTCTGACTCTTACCTTGTAATCATGAACTTAATCATTTCTCTAACAGTTTCGATGTCTTTCTCGGTTGACACGATTTCATCAATAATCTCAAGCACAAGCTTTTCGACGCGATTGACTTCATTATCGAACGCCGACAAAACTTCAGTGCCAACTTTACCTATGGCCATGCTCAACCTCTCGATGAGTTGAGCTTTCGCCGTGTGTCTTGTCTTTTTGTTCGATTTTCCACCCTGAAGATAACAATCCCAGCGTCTATCAAATAGGAAGTTTTCAACGTCTATCGATTCAGGATGTTACAATTACAGTGCTGGCCAAAATTTTATACCTAAATGACTGTTTCAGTTGAAAAAGGTCAACTTTAGGTGTCTGGAAAAGTGCTTATTACTTGTTTGTTTGTTCTAACATATTCTGGAATTATAAATCAAGTATAGAATTCTAGTATTGTAGTCGACAACTTTTCTCTACAATCACTTTCCAGAAAGATAGGTGGCGTGAAAACGTTTCACTCTTTTTTCACCAATGTCAGTGATTATTTGAAATTTCTGTGGTGTGTTCCGTTTGACATGAGATATCCCTCCAGCTAAAGATTGTACAAAAAAGTTGTCAACTACAAAAATATAGCTCTTTAATTGATTTATGACCTCAAGAAGTTTCGTACCAAAAGACAACCAGTAAATGCTTTTTCAGGAACTAAACATTGACCTTCTCTTCTCAACTTAAATGGTCATTTAGGGATATGATTCTGGATATAAGAAGGAGCGATNTTCAAAATTTTCAATTTTCATTCCAAATCACTTCGATTTCCAAAATTTCTGGGAATTTGGAAATTTTACGTGATTCACAGAAATTGAACGGCAATTTCTGGGATTTTTCACAGAACTCGAACGGTTCGAGTTCTGGGATTTTGGAAATTCACGTGATTTTACTGAAACTTCACAGAAATTTTGGAAATCGAAGTGATTTGGGATGAAAATTGAAAATTTTGAAAATCGCTCCTTCTTATATCTCAAGAACTTGGTAATTTCTATAAACGAATTCTCATTGTATTCTAAACATAATCATGAGTTTTCAACAAATCAACCTGCGAACATGACAATAAGAAATTAGAAGCTACTCGAATATGAATTTGATATGAGAGACGGAAAACGATAGTTAAAAGATTTCAGGTCTATTTCCCTCAATGAGAGCTGATTCCGCGTCCAAAGTTCCCGAATCTAAAATTTCTGGGGCCCTGACAGCAGTCCAAAGTGCCGTTCAGACTACCAGGATGTTCAATTTGCACAGTCAAAACCAGTTCGACCGTACACCTCTGGCGCGTTGAGACCCGCAAAATAAGTATTGCGGATTTTTAGAAATAAAAACCAATCGTTTTAGCCTCGAAAAGTGGTACGAATCTTTGCAGTTCTTGATGAGCTAGAGGGTACGGACGCACTGGTTTCGACTGGGCTTATTGAAAATCCTGGGATACTCGAGACTATTTTGAATTGTTTTTTAACCCCATGAATCTAAGCTTCTGAATCTTTATATGCGACGTAACAGTTTTGTTGTTACTGAAACTCCATGACAAAGCGAGAACATCTGAGTTTCCACATGTTAATTTCCCAGCTCACTTTTCGAAATTTCGGTAGTTATCAATCGCGCATAATATCAATCTGTCTCTTCTATTTAATATCTAGCTAGCAATTTCCTTGTTGCCACGAATTCAATCTACGGCTCAAGATTCCCAAAAAAGTTTGCCGGCGCGGTGGTTGTCAATGGAAACGTGAGAGCTGAGAAGCAACACGATGAAGATCTCGAGATTAAATCAGGAAAAGAGCCTCGTTGAGAGAAAAGCTGAACTGAGAATAGAATCAGATGGATTAAGGGTCGGTGGACTTGAGAAAATATGAAGAAAAAAGAACGGATTAAAAAATTGAGATCTAGAAAAAATCCTAATCCACGGTCATAAATCCCACCAACTCACGTGCTCGATTAAAGCCAAAGCCTTGTAGTGATCCGTCAAAGCCGTGATATCAGGCTTTGAGATTAGGATCTTGTGTGTTGGGATTCCATAACGACGCTCGATCGATTCAAGGTTCTTCCGCTTCATGGTGTCGAGCTCGTACTTGAGAAGTTCGCTGTTATCTTTTCCAGCATTGACTGGTGGAGCTTTGACTGACGTCGTTTGAAACATCCTGTAGGAATAACTAACAGAAAATAAGAAGGAAACAAGGAAATGTCAGGGAACACAAATGAAATCGGAGTTGAGAACATGAGCCAAATGAAAGAAAGGGAGAGAAATAAAAATGGGAAGGAGCCAAGGAGGAAAAATCAATGGGACGCTCGCGTCCGCCTCACGACGGCTACAAATAGCGAACAGGGACGCAGAGGTTTGGCTCCCCTCCTTCATCTCCTTATGTGCGTTGGAGCACATAATACCAAGAGGCACCTTTTCCCTCTTCACTTCTTCTCTTGCTAGCCTTCCAAAAACGAGTGGGAGGATGCATGAGAAGGATTTATTTGAAAATGACGTTGTTCTCAGTGTGACTTTGGGGATGATGTGAAGGCTCATTGAGCTTAATGGAAGAACATAAGAAGGTATAAAAGCTCATGTCAGGGATTCCCGAGCGAAACGGTTGTTTGGAACGGGACGAGAAACTGGTGGAAGTCATTGACGTTTCTGAAGACTTTCATATCGAGATCCTGACCTTTAAGTCGAGATTCATGGATTCTAGAATTGTCGAAAAATGCTGAGATTCTTCGTACTAAAAACAGAAAATTTGAAAATTATGCTAATTTTCTGAAAAAGAAAAACAATCGAGACCCGCATCTGAAAGCGAAAAGAATATGACTTTAATGATAAAATTGTGCGGTTGGATGTTACTTGAATTAACTTTTCCCACTGAAAAATTCGAAATTCTTTCCTGTAGGTGTCAGGCATGCTAGTTCATATTTATTTTTACAACTTTCCGTAAAACATGTAATAGAAGAGCTCCCTAAACAAAAAATTCTGGTTGTTTGGATATTCGGATAATTGGAAAGATTGGGAGTATGAAAGTCTGGAATTTTGAAAAGCACGAAAGGAAATTAGAATATAAAAAAATGGAGAATTGAACAGCAAAACTGTCTACTGTCCCGCCGAACCAAACCATCGAAAACATGGCGGCCCAAAGTCGCTATGGAAGCCAAAAAAAAACTGTGGAAACAACAACGACCTTCCAACCATAGCTAGGACTAGTCGAGCTAGACCGGAACTTGTGCTTTTTGTTTTGTTTTAGTTATTTAGAGCCAATACCGATTCAATTTCTAATCAGTTTTGTGTAATATTCTTTTTTACCTCTTATTAGGGTGTTCCATAAATAATGTCGTTTTTTGGTACCACTCTTTAAACGAGATAACTTCAGCAAAACTCATGTTCATTAAACAAACTACGCATCATTCGAATCTGTAGTTTTTTGCCTACAACATGCATTTTTGAAAATTACATGATGATAGAAACCAGAGAGCCAGGAAGTGACGAAACTTTGGAATCCTATTTTGCATAGTCGTCTTTAATGAAGTGCTTCTCTTTGGGGAAGTTATTAAGATGTTTGAAAATGTGGTAATCAATTGAGGAAATGCCGGCAAGTATGGTGGATAACCAATAATTTTGTAACCCAACGTATTCCGTTTTTGAGCCGTCATGGTTGCAACATGTGACATGGAGTTGTCGTCGAGTAGGATTGTGCCATATTTTTTGACTAGTGCCGGAATTTGGATAACAATTTTTTTTATTCTTTGACAATTGTAATGTGTTACAATATTATAACAGTGGTGTGTTGCTCGCGTTAGAGATGTGTTGAGAGCCGCCAATGAACATTTTCGTAGTGTGTAGCTAGCTCGACAGATCACTATTTGGTGTTTACAGATCTGTTTTTAGATTAAGAGATGTGTTAAAACTAGAAATGTTCTGTGACTGAGAAGTAGTTTGAAAATATCCGTAGTGTGTTAGAACTACCAGTCAATAATGATTAGAACTACCAGTCAAAAATGCGTGGTCGCTATAAATACAAACCAGGAAATCGAAATGCAGTACAAACAATTTGATATTTACCTCGCGTTTACAGTCTTATCAGTTTAAAAACATTGTTATATTTCTTCATTTGTGTTCTACCTTATCTGGTCATTTTTTAATTTCAATTGTTGTCACTTTTTTAACCCTGAAAAAATGAAATTTTTATTTTTCTTAATTAGGATTTTAGTTTGAAAAATGATTTATCAAATTTCTAATTAACATACTTGTAATCCGGGCCTTTCCCGGGCCTTTGCGGGCCCTGCCATAGTTTCCTGTAGAGTTAATTTTTTGAATCGACTGAATCAGATATGATAGAACTCAACAAGTACTACAAAATGATACTATTCATAACAATGTATCTTGTCTATGAACAAAGTTGCAGGCATCCTGCTTTTTTCGCTCTGTTTGGTTTGTAGCTCCGTTCACTGACAAGATACACTATTCCAAACAGAGCCATTTTGTAGTACTCGTCATATCTAATTTAGTTAATACAAAAATATTGATACTGAAAGAAACTATGGCAGGGCCCGCAAAGGCCCGGGAAAGGCCCGGATTACAAGTATGCTAATCATTGCTATTTTTTGCTATGTTTCAGCTTACGAATGACTAGCAAACTAAAAGCTGTTTACTACATTCCTTGGAGAGCTCTTATTGTAACGGGATGTTTTGCAACATATTTCATTATTCTCGGATTCACTATGCTGGTTCCTGTGCTCACACCTCAGCATTATTTTGTAGCTCATCGACCAGTTTTTGGAGGTTCTTCCCGTCAAATAACAAAAAACATAACCAAAACCAATTATTGGGATAAGTGTGAGCTACCAGTTTATGATTTTTATGATGAAGAAATTTTGCCGGTAAGATTTGGAATTTATACTGACTAATCAAACATTTTTTTTCAGTATGTGGAACCAAACGAAAACCCTATTCCTTACTGTAATCCGGATTACAAACCTCTTACTACTCCAATCAATGGCTCGTGGGACCTGAAATACTCAAGACTGAAGTTGAAATGTAGAACAAGGTAAATAAGAATCGAGTCAGTATTTTTGGAGTATCTAAAATTACAGATGCCACTGGCATAAATCGGAAAGAGTAAACAAAATAGGCAATTGGAGTTATAAACCTGGTCCAGTTGATTGTGAAGTTCTAGAAGCCGTGTGTGCAAAGAATGGTACAGATGTATATGGATATCTTCACACTCAAGTCATTCCAACGTAAGCATCATTGGTTTTCAAACGTATTTTTAGAAAAAAATCTCAGCTTTCAGACAACAAAAAAAACCGGAAGTTGTAACCAAGAAATGGAAACAGTACGATGTTACAGTAATTTTGATCGACTCTTTGGCTTATTCACAAGCCAGAAGGTATATATTAATAAAGTCATTCAAATAAAACGTCATTTTGATTCAGATCACTCCCACGCACAATAACATACATGTCGAATCACATGGATGCTGTAATTTTTCCGTACATCAACAAAGTGGGTGATAACAGTAGACCGAATGGCGCTGCTCTTTGGTTTGGTGAGTTGAAGAAAACTAATTCTGACAGTTGATAAAAATGTTGAAACTTCTTGATTTTTGCAGGGAAACTCCTGGAGAAATTAGACCGTTCACTATTTGATGAAGAGAATGTAGCGCCTGATTGGACTCAGGAGTACATGTGCAACGTTTACAAAGATAATGAGACATCTCTATTTCATGAGTTTCAAAACTACGGATACAAGGTACAACAACACTTCCAGATAAAAAGAAGACATATTTTTATAGACGTTGTTAGCAGAGGATTGGGCAGAAGGAACTTTGAACTGGCCCAACTGTAAAGGTTTTGATAAGCCACCAATTGACCATTACATGCGGTAAATCATGAAAACGGTTTCTGCTCGACCTAAATTACTTGCAGACCGTTTCAAAATGCAATGGAACGAAAGAATCATGGTGTGGAAGTGACAAAAAATCACCTAAATGGAGATATGTGCAGAGAATATCATCATACATTGTTGGATTACTTGGGACAATTTCTTGATGCTTATCCGGACCAAAGAAAGTTCAGTTGGGTATGGCTGTCAGTTCTTGGGCACGACACAGAGAACAGCATCGCCCATTCGGATAACGATTTTTACAGTTTTCTGGTAAAACACAGGAAACAAGTGAGTTTATCTTTTAGATAATATCGTGTGGATTCATTTTCAGTTAGACAATTCGTTTGTATTTTTCATGGGAGATCATGGACTCCGATTTGGAAACGTTCGAAAGACTTTTGTTGGTGCTCTTGATGTCAACAACCCGTTTCTATCTATTTCCATTCCAAAGGAATTGAGAAAAAATTCAAGAATGTTGAGTGTGATGCGCGAAAATGCAAGGAAATTGCAAACACATTTTGACACGAGATCAGCATTACTAGATATTCTGAAGGTTTTCATGTCCAATTAAAAACTTATTTCAACCTGTTTATTGCAGTTTCAATCAACCAGTGATTTTGCGGACACTGCTCCTCTAGAAATTTCAGGAGAGAAAGGATACTCTTATTTAAGAGAGCAACCAAATATTATTAGGAATTGTAAAAACACACCAATTCCTATACAGTATTGCATTTGTCAATTCAATAAAACTGCAGTCTCGACGTAAGGGTCCTTGTTTTTTTTTTTGAAACAAAAATCTTTTGTTTTTAGGAAAAGTCGATTAGCATTGTCCATAGGAGACCAGATAGCGTATTCAGTGAATGAAGAGTTGCAAGAAGGAAAACTCACAAAACATTGTATAGAGATGAAAGTGGATCGAGTGAGTGAACATTCATTTCTGTTAATTCTGTAACTGTCTTCAGATATTCTCATTGCTTAAATTCGATCAGAGTTTAAATGGCTCCTCTCTTTACACCGCCGTTGTTCAAATGAAACTTCCAAGCCAAGCGATATTCAAAGTGAGTACTGTAATTTTTGTGTTTGTTTGTTTTTTTTTCGAGATGCGACCAAAAAATCAAATTTGTAGGCAAACGTGAAGATTCTTCCGACAGGAAAAGTTCGAGTATTGGGCATGATAGAAAGAACTAACTCATACTGGAATACGGCAAATTGCATTAGTTCGGAGCATCATCGTCCGTATTGTTACTGTAAAAACCAGAACGAAACTTATTGGTGATTATCGAATTTCTCACTTCTTGAAATAACCTTTCTGCTTTGTTTTTTTATATCAGCTTTCTCCGGGTTATTATTTAATATTCCTTCATTGTTTGAAAAAAATTGATACAATTTTAACGTTTGAAAATATTTGGGTTCTGAATTGAAACAAAGGCTAAATTTGAAAATCTCGCAAAATTAAAAAAATAACGAAGTTTTTTACTGAAAATCAAAAGTTCGCTCAAGATAGTTTGCAAATCGTCCTCAGGTTTTCTATATCTTCTGGGATAAAATCTCATTCATATATAGATCTTTGCGTCTAGCCAGCTAGACCCTTACATACATTTATAATTGAATCGATGGGTGAAAAGCGAAGCGCGTTACAGTACAAGATGAATATGGCGAGAGGGGTTCCGAGACTCAAAACTATGTTTCAAATATGTAATAATGTTAGGTTTTTTAATTTACTTAATTTTTCTGTGTGCCCAAACGTATGAATGATCCTTTGGGATTACATATATTTTTTCCTGAAACCCAAGGCTCACTCTTCGCAACTGTTCAGATTCCTGAAAATGGAATTTAATATTCAAGTGAATTGTATTAGTGGGAACAAACAAATCGATGCTTCAACACTAATTTTTTAAATCATCGAACATTGCTTCAATGAACATCTTTAAAAATCGAGTTTCTGAAGCAATCATTGCAACCGAATTGTTAATAAAGCGTTGTGTATATAGTTTGAAGACCACCTTTGAAATTTAAAACTGTTCCATTTTGTGAAACAAATTTCCCTCTATAGAGTTTTTCAACTTTCTTTCATTTATAATCATTTTACTGGAAAAGTATCAAAAAAATTGGATAACACCGGTTGAGCCCGATTCAAATTTGCTGCTGAAACATTTTTAAAATTTTCTGCACCGTGAACAGCAGGTCTTAAATTCAGTTCGACAGTGAACGTGTCTACATACAAAGATATAATATGCACCTGTTTTCCGTTGTGAGTTTTATCAGTTGGAATACCTTGTCAAGATTTTATTACCATGGTTGTATGATAGTGAGTCCCCTCATAAACCATGTTTCTGTTTGCTGTACATTTGAACTCGATGAGACGTAAAACTTGTCAGCTTTTGTTAAAATCCTTAGTTTTATTACTGTTTGAGACAGTTCTGACTTGTCGTTCTGTTTTGTTTTTCAATTCATTCATCGAATTGTGAATTTCGTTCTAATACTTTCTGATTTTCCAGCTCGAATATGGCTAGAAACCTAGAATCGATCCGATACACTTTTTCGACAAATCTCATCATAAAACGATTTTTCGTTGTTTTCTATCGTTCTGGGGTTGACCATGCTGTTTTCTGTCGTCACCCCTCTACACTTCTTTGATCCTCATCAACAGATCTTCAAAAGTTCTGTCCATCAAATATGCGAGAAAAACACCAAATTAAGCTATTGGGATAAGTATGAGCTGCCAGTTTACAATTTTCATGACGAAGAAATTCTGCCGGTAAAATACAACATGTTTGTTGTCCAATAACACATATATTTCAGAACGTGAATCCCAATGTAAACCCCATTTCTGACTGCCATGCGGATCATAAACCTCTAACCATTCTCATCAAGGGCTCTTGGGGATTAAAGCATCCAAAGCTAAAGTTGAAATGTCGAACAAGGGGGGGGGGATACCTCTTGGGGGCTATAATATTGTTTTTACTTGGCTGATTGTTAAACGTACGCAGCCAAATTAAGACGGGAAAGTTCATTTCCAGCTAGAAATTTTAATTCTTACCTGAATTTAGTCGTTTGAAACGACCGCGACCTATGTCTAAGATTTCAATAAAGCACCTTCCTATTCTAATAAGACTCCCCTGTGATGGTCGAATTCGAGGTAAGCGTTTAGGTGGGGGAATTTGCGTTTGAGGGGGGGGGGGGGGGGGGAGACATATGTCAGTCAATGGATTATCTTCAATTTTTTTCTCTAATTACGGAGTAACATGTACTTGTTCCGTCTCCTTATTGTGGTTAATCCACAAGCGGTTCTAATGGCTGGACCATCTGTTCTCGGACCAATTAATTGACTGATGCAACCGATTATCATCTCGGGGATTGCCTTCTTCTCGAGAGCTTCTTGATTAGAGTGCAATTAGTTTCTTTGACCCTCCATCTCTCAAAGTTTTCGAATTTTTCTCCAGCTTTTCTTCTTTTAGGTGACATCAAAAAAAATTCCAAATGTTGACATTTGAGATACGGTAGCTGTCGTCTTCTTTTTTTGTCCTGGCTTCGTTGTAATTTCGATGACAAATCATATTTTATCGGAGAAGATGTTTTTTTACTCAGCGAGAAGCAAAACGCAGAGGGGACTTTCATGCAATGGCTGCAAGGTGGTTCTAACGTCCAATAAGACTCATTTGAGTGTCCTTTTCTGAGAGATTGGAACCTTCGAGAAACGGCGTTCTGAATCTCTTGTTTCTCTATAGTCTTTTCGTCGCAGGCAGATGGCCAGTGCCCCTCTTCTTTGAAGAAGAAGAAGAAGCAAAATGGCTCGCGTTTCTTTCTATTCGTGGTGTGTTGACCGCTACACCACGGTGACCACAGCTAATGTGGTTTGCGTGCACGTGTGTGTGTGTGTGAGTTTCACTCTCCTCTCCTGCTTTCGTTCTCTCTCCTTTGCCCTTTCTGGCCCAACACCCCTCTGTGCCCACCACCCTTCTCTGTCCACTACCCTGAAGGTCTCCAGAAGACTTCAAAATCAATGTTTCGAAAAAAGGCAAAATCACCACCGCGCATCACTCACCGCGCTGTTATTTCTTGTAATCTATCAAATTTTGAGAAATTTAGGTCCAGTTGTTATTTCTCTAGTGTCGCGAAAAACACATGAGCTTTTTTTTGCGAAAACCGCGCGCGCACATTGCACTTATTGATTGAAAAACACGGGCGGTGGTGACGCCCTCTTTATAGATTTTTCGGCGCGCTTTCCTATTTTCAAATGTTAGGGGCTTCTTTCTTGTAATATACATGTTTCCTCTCCATTTCTCCTTTCTTGTACTATTTTTACTTGATTCTCGTTGATTTCGAAACATTTTTAACAGAAACTATATGTTCCTTTCCAAGAATAGCTATCAATTTGTCTGACTTCGAATTTAGATATAGACCTTTCTGAAGTTTTTCCATCGATCCCCAACCTGTATTTTGCACGCGGACGGCTGCATTACCTTGTCCAGGGGGGCGCGATTGCACCCTCGTTCGACTTTCACATTTTTTTGCAATCAACTTTCCTTTTCATTTACCTCTGTCAATTTTCGATAATTTTTAGTGAGTTTTTTTTTCAGAAATTTCCAGAAAAATACATACATTTCAGTGAAAATGTATTGAAATTTGCGTAAATCGGCGAAATTTAAAAAATTAGCTAAGTATAAAACGAAAAACGGAGCTTTTGTGAAAATGAAAAGCGGAAAAGTAATAATTTGAATTTCATATTTTTTTTCTAAAAGATTCCGGAAGAAATTGATCAAAAATGATTGCAAACAAACATAAATGAAAAAAAAAGAAAAGTTAGCGGCAAAAAACCGGTGAAATTTGAACGATGGTGCAATCGCGCCCCTCTGGACAAGCTATTACATCCGCCGATTTTTGTCAGTCTATGCTTCCTCTGCATTTTTTCTTTCCTGTACTCCTTTTACTTGATTCACGTTGGTTGCGAAAAATGTTTAACAGTAATTATATGATGTCCCTTTCCAACAAATGCGTTCAATTTTTTTGAATTTGTATCTAGATCTAGACCTCATTTTTAAGATTTCTTCATATTTCTATCTGCTCTAATTCACAGTGGCGGCCATAAACTTACGGAAAACGTGTTTTCAGTTGATTTTTGGCTTTTTCAGGAGTCTTTTTTCAGATCTCGGCTGTCAAGTGTCGTATCTCTTTGAAAATACTGGAGGTTAACAGATCTAGATTGAAAAATTCGCATTCTTAGAATTTTTTTTGAAATATCTTATAGTTTTTCAGTTATTTACCGATTTCCGAAAGACACCTGGTTTTTTCACTTTTCCAGAACGGAATTAGGCAAAAAAGGGTGTCATTTAGAAAATGGCGATTAAGTGAAAAACTAGGAATTTTCAAAAATTTCTGTGAATGCACTGTTTTCAATCTAGGCCTGTTAACCTCCAGAATTTTCGAAGGAATCCGACACTTAACAGCCGAGCTTCAGGCTCCTGAAAATGTCAAAAACCAACTGAAAAACATGTTTTTTCATATACTTAAGGCCGGCACTGTAAATGTGTTAACTTTATTTAGTATTTAATGAATTTGCTTGAACACAGAAAACAAATTTTTAACTCTATTAGCTTTCCCGATTAGTCTTCTTCCTTCTTCTTGTCAATTTTAAAGATTTTTTTCAGTTTCTATCCGAATAAGATGGCGGGTATCGCCGGAGGTCGTCTCGCAGAAGAGCGAAAACTATGGAGAAAGGTAATTGAAAAATCGAAACTTTAACATTTTTTGTATTATTCATCTGACACATTCCAGGATCATCCATTCGGATTCATAGCCAAGCCAACCAAGAAAGCAGACGGAACTTTGGACCTCTTCAACTGGGACTGTGCAATTCCTGGAAGAAAAGATACCATCTGGGAGGGTGGACTCTACCGAGTAAGTAGGACAAAATAATTCCGGACAAACGATCCAAATCTTAGATTCGAATGGTCTTCAAAGATGATTTCCCATCAACTCCACCAAAGTGCAAATTCGTGCCTCCACTATTTCACCCAAATGTCTATCCATCAGGTACTTTCCGCCCAAGTTTCATTTTCAATATGGCAATTTGAAAATTTCAGGAACAGTTTGCTTGTCGCTTCTGGATGAGCACAAAGACTGGAAACCATCAATCGGTATCAAACAGCTTCTCATTGGAATTCAAGATCTGCTGAATAATCCAAATATTGAAGATCCAGCCCAAGCCGAAGCATACCAAATCTATTGCCAAAACAGGTTAGAATTATTTTAAGTATATTCGCCGCAAGCATGTTGAATTTTTCAGAGCTGAGTACGAGAAGCGTGTCAAGAAGGAAGCAATCAAGTATTCCGCTGACGTCGTCCAAAAAGAAATGCTCCAATAGATACATTCCACATCGAAGACATTCTTTTATTCTTCATCTTCCTTCTCATTTTCCCTGATTATCTTATTTTTAATATCTCATTTTTTTAACCCAAGTATTTTAATCGAATGTTGACACGCATAAGCAAAGTTGGAGAGAACAGTATACCAAATGGAGCATTTGGCTTGTTAAACAATGACGAACTAATTGAATAAAGTTATTATTATTATTATTATTGTTCTAAATTTATTAAGAAAACTATTAGAGAAGACGCCGTTTCTTATTTAACGAAGAGAGTTGATGGCTGACTGGAGTTGCCACGTTAAAAAAGATAATGAGACATCCTTGTTACATGAGGGGGTAAATGGCAACTAGAATTAGACCAAAATCGATTCTCTCCAATTTGGATGGTAGCATTATGGCAAAAAGTGTAGTATTCTGGCGAAATTCCAGAATGTATGGTCTTGAAAGCAAGTTTTTCCACCTTATTGGTGCTTCAGAAAATGCATTTTTAGCACTTTCTGACGTAACAATTGTCTTGGGCCTAGATTAACGTAACTTAAAACGTTGAGCTTGATTATCTTGGTTTTTGTGAAATATATCAAAAAGTGTCTAACTGCATACTTGTAATCCGGGCCTTTGCCGGGCCTTCGCGGGCCCTGTCATAACGTTTTTCAGAATCAATGTTTTCGAACCAACTCAATTAGATATGATAGAGCTCCACGAGTACTACAAAACGGTATCATTTGAAATACTG